CTAAGAGTAAACTGATAGACCAATCTATTAATTTATCCAACAGCTTTTAAAACCACTTGAGCTAGTATTTGGAAAGTGCTTTCCAAAAAGAGCTATACAAGAAGAGCAGACCATTAAAAGATAGAAAGTATTTGATGTCTAGATATTGCTGTTTTCTACTAACTCCTTTCAGAAGTTCATAATGACTGAACTTCTGAAAAGGTATAATTCAGGTATAATGGTATAATGTTTATTTTTTTGCATTCCAGTGAGTTGGGATGGCTTACAAAAAGAGCACCAGATAATACAATGATAAAGATCCTCCAACTTGTAAGCTTTATATGGAGAGCAGCAGTCTGTTAAGTTTGATACAGGAAAAGCAGAATTACTTGAATTAAATGCAGTGCAGTGGGATCTGACAGAGAAACTTTATTCTTGAAGAACAAGTTCCAGCATGAATTATAGAAAGAAGAATCAAGATGTATGAGATTGCAAGAAGATACAATCCATTCTTTTAGTATGCTTTGTGACTAAGCATTGAAAAATTGTCATCTCCCAGAATAAATTCTAACATGTTAAAAACTTTGGATGGTAGCTGGATTCAGATACTGTACTAAGCCTGGGTTTGCTTAAGATTTTTTAGATAAATGATAATTGGCTGGGATCATACAGTATCCTAAATCAAAAGAATGAAATGATGTCATGGTTTAGCATGACCTGCAAAACAAATAAAACTATAAAGAAATTTGAATCTACAATCTTCAAGAACATAATCCAGTTTATTTTCCATTTAGGCACAATGATTAACTCCTGTGTTTTTTGCATAAGCATGGGCATATACAAACCTAAAGAGGAGAAAAAAGGAAGTGTGTGAAGGGGAAATAAGAAGGAAGCCTTTTCACAATCTGGGAGTTTACATGAGAAACACTATATTGCTCAGCATTGTCTTTACAGAAATTCACTCAGATTATCCAAATCTAAAAGACAAAATTCCATATTGCAAGTAAGAGAGCTGACACTATACTTTTCCCAGAATTTACTTCCCATTTGTTTATTTATGAATTAAAGCTTTGTGATCTGCGATGTTTAAGAATTGCCTAAAATTCTGACTGCCCTCTTTCATGTGGGTTCTGGAGACCTTAAGCAGGATGATGTCAATTGCGACACATCTCTTCTCCTCACCTCTTTCCCCTCAATAGCTGAAATAGCCACTCTCCAAAGGAAAAGACCGGGGCCAACTTACATGGATCAATAAGAAGAATATCCAAAGACTGAAGGAAGCAAGATATAGGCCTTGGCATGTGCCCAATGTTGTCAACTTTGCCCCCCCTTTCAAAAGCTATGATAAAGGAGTACTGAAATGAGCTAATTAGTCTATCAAATTTATAAATGTATTTATTATTTTTATTTATTTGTTTGTTTGTTAAATTTTATTTGCCATTTTTCTTGCCATAGGGCTACTCTAGGCAGTTTACAATAATAAAATGGGAAAAAATCAAAGGAGTGTAAACAGAAGAAAAGTAAAATAATGGAACAACAAAATAAGCAGTGGAAAAAGAATACAATGAGTATACATCAATATGATCACCAAAAAAGATGAATGGTGGAAGGCAGAGCACAGGGAGGAAGGGAATGGGGTAGAGTCTTCCATCAATCCAGCAACCACCTCCAGTATGGAATTCCCCAGGCCAAGTATCAGAGCCAGGTCTTTAGGCTCTTCTGGAAGGATGGGGGTATGATGTTACTTTAGAGGATAAGATGTTCCAAAGAGCGGGTGTTGCAGCAGAGAAGGCTTTTTCTGGATTCCAATAGTTGGACTTTCTTGACCAATGGGATCCAAAGTAGGCTTCTCTACCAGCACAAGTAGGACGAGTTTATCTTAGCGGGAAGAGACAGTTCATCAGATAGCCTGGACCGATATAATTAAAGGCTTTAAAGATCATAACCAACATCCTAACAACCTACACTTGGAAGCAGACCAGTAGCCAGTGAAGTTCGCAGAGCTAGGGGCTCCAAAGATTGTTCTCACTGCCACATGGAAGTTCCCTGTCTTAAAATAGCTTTGGGCCAGTTACACCTTCTTAGTTAGAGTGTAACTGGCCCAAAGCTATTTTAAGACACAGAACTTCCATGGTTGAGGATGGAATAGAATACCCAGATTACGTCCTAATCCACTTTCCAGAGTTGTGGGTAAAATGGGAACAGGAGCACTATGTAGGATACTTCCTAAACCTAAGTAGGTTATAAAGAGTTTTCCAAGAATTTGTGATTGTGATTGTTGATGCGTGAATGGAACGGAGACACCATGGGGGCTTCCTCCTGCTCCTATCCTCCCTAGAAAGGCTGAGTGGATAAATGTGAATGATTGGGGTAGGCTCTACAGGGAAGTGGGCTAGAAGATGCTATAGATAGCCATAGGGTGGGACAGTGTATCAGTATAGTGATGGGCATGGGACTCTATGGGAACAGGAAGGCAGGCCATTACAGGGGAAGAGTCCCCAATGTTTAGTATCGTTGGCATGTTCTGGATCCCTTAGTTCATGCTCAATCCCTGGACAGGATTCCCTTGGAGGTCTGGAGCTTTGGGTGCTGCTGCTGAATGCCAGGTTGGTTAACAACAAGGCTCCAGTCATCTAAGATCTTACTGAGGAGGAACATGCTGATCTGGCGTACATCATCAAGACCTGGCTGTCACTGGATGGGGATTCACCTTTCAGAGATGTGTCCAGCCAGGTTTAGGGTTTGGCACCAGCCCAGGATCACAGTGGTCATTAGAGAAACTCCACCTTCAAGGACCTTGCTTCCCGTGTCTCTGGCTATGAGACTCTTTTTCTCATATGGGACTCAAGGGATCAGCTGGGACTGTTGCTACTATAATGACCTTCTGGCTGCATAGCAACCTCCTTGCCTAAACTACTAGAAGCCATCTCAGGATTGTCAGTGGAGTCCCCCAAACGCATGCTACTGGGTAATTTAAATCTGCCTTCTCTGGATTTGGCTTCAGAAGCAGCTGAGGAGTTCATGTCTTCCGTAATGGACATGGGCCTACCCCATATTGTCACAGGTCCAACTTAAAACAGAATTAGAAAAATACCAGATGTAATATTCTTATCTAAGCAATGTCAATGTTACCTGGTTTGGAATCAAACATTATCCCCCCCCCCCAGTCATGATCAGATCAGACCTGATATCCCTGACACTCTCTTATATCCTCCTCCTCCATAAGGACACTGGACCTGTTAAAATGGTCCATCCTGGAGACTGATGGATCCAAATGGGTTCCAGAAGGAACAACCTGGAAGATTTGCTACACGGTTCTGCTGAAGCTTTAGTAATGGGTTTGGAGCCAAAAGATCACTGAGATTCTGGACAAGATTGTGCCTATGCAAACTCTAGTGACCCTTCGCTCCCATTGTTCCCCATGATTGATAAAGGAACTGAGGGTTCTGAAAGAGATTAAGAGACCTAGGAAACAATTAAATGAATTTTTGGTCTATTCTTGTACAATTGGAAGCCAGGAGAATTGCACTGCTACTTTATTGGAGGGAATTAAGTTAGGGAATTAGATTCTTTTCATACATTTGTGAATTTTATTACTATCCCTTAAAAATATTTTCTGGTACACACGTGTCTATGCATTCTGGATGGCAAAAGTCATGGTTGTGGGATGTGCTAGATCCTGGAAATTATACTTCAAGACTAACTTGAGAATGCTTTGCTAATGGACAAGTGTGACAGGAATTGTAATTCAACACCCCTCGTTTCTGCATTTGATCTGGTATAGTCTAAATAATCTGACAGTTCTTTGGTATCAAATGAGACTTTTTTCTCTGAAATGTAACATGCTATGTAATTATATATTTGCACCCTTCAATAAAAATGTAATACTTCCAAGTCTTAATTCCAAAGGTTAATTTTGTTGGGGCTGGAACCTATGCAATGCCAGCGGCAGACTACTACTTTTCATTGTTTTAGTAAGTAGTAAGTCGAGTAAGCAATAATAACTTTAGTAAGCAGTTCTTTGGCACTAAAACCAAAGCTGTTATAGCCACCTGATCCCAGGAAAGTTACTTAAGTTAAGATGATGATACTTTGGATTTTATCACTATTTTCTGGCATGGTGCTTTGGAGAGAGCATGAATTTTGCCATAGAGATCATCACTACAATGATTCACTTAACAACTGTGGCAAGAAAGATTGTGAAATGGGGCGAAACTCATGTTACAAATGTCTCAACAACACAAATTTTGGACTCCATTTTGATCATAAATCAAGGACTGCCTGTAGAACAGTTTGTCTTTCACTTTATTCTATGGAAATGTGGGTATGTCAGGAGAAAAATAAATAAATAATTGAATGCAACAGGAATGGGATAGAAGGGTACATGGTAAAACAAGAAGATATAGGGTCAAGAATGAATAGAAGAGGGTAAAATCAATGTGGGTCAAACACCAAATTCGGTAAGCAATACAAAAAGAATATATTCAAACATGGCCACCTGCAGAGGAGTGAGGATTGAATTGCAAAACAAATATACGAATGAATGGGTCAAGAGAATGGAAGAACTAAGCAAACTGTGATTGGGTACAGCAGCTTCCATAGTAAATTAGAACTATGTCGAAATAAGGATGCACACATCATGACATCATTGTAATATGTGTTGTGATCATGTCTTTACTTCATGAAATCTAAAGTTAAGTCAGTGTTCGGTATTGCCTTTCGGAAGACTCAGAGAATTCCCCTTATGGAATCTCGGATACAGAAAGGTAAATTTTTAATTCCTCTCTCTAATGTCTCTACTACTCCATTGAGAAAGCGCAATCTGCTATTTTGCATGCGCATGCGCCTGGACCATTTGTAATTTCCGAATGTCTTCCCGCTATTGCTATCCCTGCCCAAAAACGAATCACGAGCGCTTAGATAGACGGTCTGGAATTACGTCATCTTTGCTGGTCTAAATATGGAGGTCGCGGCCGCACAAAAGAGCAAAGCGCAGGCGCAATGACTCACGAAAGGCAAAGCGAAGTCAGTAGCAGGCGATAGCAAATGGGGCAAGGGTTGGCATGGCAACAAGGGAGTGGCATGCCAGGCTCCTCCCCACAGCTTGTTGGCGGGAGAATGGCTGAGCAATGAGGTGACGTGCGGGATCCAAGCGAGGTAATTTGCACGGAGAATCGGTGTTTCTGCCTCCAGGGTGGGCGCTTAGAATAGTGGCCTGCCGCTGTGAGGAAAGAGTCGGCTGACATCCGTTTGGGGTTCCGGGGAGCAGGAGGTTGAGGGTTTATAGCAGTTTTTGAACTGTAACATCCATCGTCCCCCAACCATCATGGTCAACATATACGGAGGATGCATGGGCTGTTTTCGGGGTCTGAAGCAGTGATTTAATGGATAAAACTAAATGCAGAGGGAAAGTGTATAGAAAGAATCAAACTTTCTAGCAGCACTTGTTATTCTGAGGTTGCCTTCCCCACTTGGTGCTTTCCAGATGCGTTGGCTTTTATAACTTCTTTAACTTTGGTGGTTGAAGTAGCTGGAAGTATATATTTATCTGCATATATAAATATATCTGAAGGATATCAGATATCAACTTGAGAAAAAAATCACACAAAAGTGTGGATCCTCTAGCACCTATTAAATGGCTTTTAAAGGGGGAAAAGCTGATGCAACACACGGTAGAACCCACAGGACAATAATCTATGGCCCATAACGCTATTTCAGTTTTGCTTTTTTGGAAACCCTTGATTTCAATGAGTCATTGATCTGATTCAGTAAGGTTATATTTGTAAGGAACATGATTTCATTATATATATATTTCATTATGTGTGTGTGCATGCGCACACACGCACACTCACACACACACCTCAATGGTCTTCAAGCAACTGTATATTTTGAAAGAAAAAGTTGAAGATGCAGTTCTGAGGCCTAGTTTTTCTCTTACCTGTTGTATTTCAGTGTTCAAAATTCTTCATTCTCTTGTTTTATTCATCACAGGCAAAAATTGAAAGGACACGGTAACTGTTCTCAAGCAAGTTGGACTTGATTTTAAGTGGATAAATTCTAACCAAATGAAAGAGTTAAGCAGCCCTTAATTTGGTAAGGGAAAGTGATAATTTTGTAGCGTTGATTCTGGATGCCTGAGAGATCAGATTCTGTAGGAAAAGTAATTTGAAACCCTATAGTTATGGGGTTTTTCAATACCAGAATTTTTAGTTGGAATAGTTGATTATGCTTTTGGGAAACAACATACTTTTGATGAAGCTGACATGGGGTGATCTTCAATTTTTAGGAAAGCCAAGATGGAAAACAAGAGGAAGGTTTCCGTGAGAAGCATTGGTATTGGGGACTTTACCCCATCACAACAGAAAAGGCCAAGAGGAGGAGACTGGGATGAAGATGGTCCTTCACAATTTGAAGAAGAGCTGGCTTTTCTGGATGAGGTGGAGGCTGAGGTGGCTCTAGAAATGAAAGAAGCACAGTTATCATCTGATGCCATTCCCCTTGGTATGGCATTCCCATCCCAGAATTGGGAAAATATTTTCTGAGGCAGAACAAATGCCACAGCAGTGAGGGCAGCTGCCGAAGGATGATATGTGGATGATAGTGTCTGGTGCTTGTGATCCATATTAAAATTAAGCTTTTCATTTCTGTTAAACTCTCTGTTACACAATTCAAATTTATTTTAATATACTGTTTCAATGTTTTAAACATTATTACAAGTAGTCCTTCCTCTACAACCACAGCTGAACCACAAATTTCCATTGTTAAATAATGGAATATTTGTTATTTGGCAATTGTTAAGTGAGTTGTGTCTCATTTTATAACTTTTTTGCCATGGTTGTTAAATGATTCACTATAGCTGTTAAGTGAATGGCATGGTTGTTAAGCGAATCTGGCTTCCCTCATTGACTTATCAGAAGCTCTCTAAAAAAGGTTGCAAATGACAATTCCAGGACCCCAGCCTGCTGCAGCCATCATAAATACATACCAGTTGCCAAGCAGCTGAAGTTTGATCACTTAACTGTGGGGATAAGTGCAAGAACTGGTCATAAGTCACTTTTTTCAATGCCATTATAACTTTAAATGGCCATTAAATAGTTGTAAGACAAATACCACCTGTATAACATTGCCATTTATATCTCCCAATATTACAGAAAGATATTATATACATCTTGTATCATATTAAGACTTATTAAACAACAGCTTGGGGTCTATGTCTCATATTCCATGCTACCTTTTCTCCCTCTTCATGATCCTTTAAAGTGCAATTATCTTTAATTGTTCAAAATATGGGTTTGATTAAAATAGGATTGGTGAATAGCTGTATTATGAGCTTTTCCTTCTTTTAGGTAACCTCTTCTCATCAGTACACAACCCCAAGTGGCAGAGGCCTCTGCCTCCCAAAATAAATCCCAAAGAGGCAGGCCTGTGTTTCCAGCAAGTGGAACTAGACTATTATGTGGGTAAGTATGTAAACTGGTTTGAGTTGCTGATAAAGAAATTTTTAAAGGGGTTGAATGACAGATGGTTTTATTCTTTTTCCTAGAAAAAGATTTGCAGAACTAGATATTCTTATTCCTTGCTAAACAATAACTCTCTGCTCCTGAGGGGAAGTCTAAAACTGTTATCGTTTCTGGGGGTTTTGACAGTTAGAACAGATGCACAAAGTTACCAACTCTTCAGAAAAAATGGGCAAGGAATGGAATTCCCCGTAAAGGATTTAATCCCACTTTTGTTTTACTTTTGTTTGATGTAAGAAGGTACCATAGCAGGATATATAGAAATGTTTTTTCAATGTGTCTATGAAAGATAAGTGAAATTAGGAAAATTTTCTCTAAGAAAGATGAATTAAATTTAAAAACTCATCCATGCCCTTGTATCTTCAGTAAACACATTTATCCTATTGAAAATATATGTTGTTTGGGAGAAAAGTCCTACTTTTTTTTCAGAGACATATATTATATATACCAATTTTTCTTAAATGTCTGTATTTTTTTTTAAAAAAGGAAGAGAATGATTGCTAAATCATGTGTATTGTATAAACAATCCAGAAAATAATAATTCTAAATAGAATTCTCAGAACTTAAATATGAAATGTAGTTGATGAAAACCTGAAGGTTACCGTGAATTCCTATTTGCATGTTTATTTTACCTAGATGCTGAATAATGAAAAGATACTCTGGAATTTTTAAATTGGAAAATCATACAATACTGCTTTTTCACTAATTAATATGTTCTCATTCTGTTCCTGAATCAGGCTCTCACATCCCTGGATTCCCTGGTTGTACCCAAGGTTCTGTACCTGTCCTGCGAATGTTTGGTGTCACTGCAGCTGGCAACAGTGTCTGTTGTCATATCCATGGTTTTGCACCTTATTTTTATGTACCTGCTCCACATGGTGAGTAAAAATTTATGATTGATGGAAGGTCTGTCTTGAACTTGATTCTTACAATAAGATTTATTTCCCTTTGTTTTTCTTTAGGATTCCAAGCAGAGAATCTGGCTGAATTTCAACGGGAACTGAATTCAGCTGTGATCCGGGACATGCGGTCCAACAAGGATGGTTTGAACCAAGTTGTTCTGGCAGTGGAGATCTGCAAAAAACAGAGTGAGCATTTGTGAACAGTGGGTGTATAGCCATCCTGTTTAGATGGCAAGGAGTTGGATTAGATCTAGATATGGGGTATGTGGGCCTTAAAATCACAATTTGGTTATAGCAACACAATATTGTGCTTTCACACTGAATCCTCATGATGTTGCTTTCACTGCTACTCCCCAAAGCTGTTGTAGCTGGTTGTACGTTATAGATTAGAATGAACATGCTTGGATAATATATCATAAACACCATGAACAATTCCAAATTAACAAATCAGTCCATTCTAATCTTTCTTCTGTGGATAGAATTGCTTCCAAGCACTAAATAAGGAAATTTTATAAAAGTTATGTTTTCTTTTCCTATGGACTAGTAACTTTTTTGAACTTGTTACTTGGGCAGCTTTAATGTATGCAAATTTTCAGGAGGCAAAGAGAAGGAACAATAAGCAAATATAAAGGACATTAATGAAAGTCTTTTATATAAATTAATTGGATGAGAGATAGGGATTTGAGGTTTTGGGAGTGATAATCCTCTATTTTTAAAATGTCTTTTAAGACTTCTCCTCATTTTAGATATGTATGGTTTTCATGGACCACATCTCTTATCCTTCCTGAAAATTACAATGGCACTGCCTCGGCTAATTGCTCCTGCCAAGAGATTGCTGGAACAAGGGCTGCGATGTGGAACACTGGGGACACACAATTTTCAAGCCTTTGAAGCCAATATTGATTTTGAAATCAGGTGAGACTTAACTATTGATGCAGTTGACTTCCTTTACCAGGCATTGATTTTAATCTCAATAAATCCTTCAGAACCATAGGTGTCATGTAGTTTGCTTGGTGATAAAATGGGAGAACCTTGCTAAGACTCTCAATGTATTGTACTAGAATATAACACTTCAGTAGGATAGAGTATCTAGCCCTCAAAATTGCTTGGAGTTACAGTATATGGTTTTTACAGGAGGCCTAAAAATTGACATGAGAATGAGACTTCAGTGCTTACATGATTTCACATGTTTATGAATGAGCTTTTGTTTACCAGAAATTACTAATCAAGATTCTGCAATGCAATAACTGGAAGTGGGCTATAAGTACAATTAAATGTATTTTGAAATGTTGCCTCTATTCTTAATTTTTCCTGGTGACTTTCAAATGAGTTGAGCTTAAATTCCCATAATTCTTAGCCATTGCATTTGAAGGCCAGCAGTTATGGAAGGTCATCCTAGACTGTTTTGTAATATATTTAGACACAAAAAAAAACATAAAAGAGACATAAACAACAAGCTAAATGAATAAAATACAGATGGAGCATATGCCCATAATTTAGTAAGCCATTTTACAGTGAGGGAATCCCTGTGGTTATCTTTTTGAACTGCATTGAGAATTACTCTTTTATTTATTTATTATTTATTTATTAATTTTATTTCTATACCGCCCTTCTCCCAAAGGACTCAGGGCGGTGTATATCCTGATTAAAAGCACAAAGACAGACAAAATTTAAAATTATTAAAATTATTAAATGATAGGCTCAATTTAAAACCCCAAATTTAAAATCCCATTTTTAAAAACCAATTAAAATCTTTACCTTGATAGCCCAGCCTGGCAGAACAACAAGGTTTTGAGGGCACAGCGAAATACACGGAGATCAGAGATTTTACGAATTTCTGGGGGCAGTTCATTCCAAAGGGCGGGGGCTCCCACAGAGAAGGCCCTCCCCCTGGGTGTCGCCAGCCGACATAGTTTGGCCAATGGCACCCTGAGGAGACCCTCTCTGTGGGAGCGGACTGGCCGGTGGGAGGCTACTGGTGGCAGAAGACGGTCTCGAAGGTATCCAGGTCCAGTGCCATGGAGCGCTTTAAAGGTGGTAACCAACACCTTGAATCGCACCCGGAAGACCACTGGGAGCCAGTGCAGCTCGCGCATGAGGGGTGTCATGTGGGCACAATGAGTTGCACCCATAACCACCCGCGCGGCCGCATTCTGGACCAGTTGGAGCCTCCGGGTGCTTTTCAAGGGGAGCCCCATGTAGAGAGCATTGCAGTAGTCCCAAAATGGAGGTAAGAAGCTATAATGCTTGATGGTAGTGAGGACCAAATACCTCTCGTCATCTCTGTCTCCAAATGTAGGTTCATGGTAGACCGGGATATTGTTGGCTGTAACTGGATTGAATTGCTTGCTGGAAAGTATCGCCTGCGACAAGAAGAGTCTGCTGGAGAATCTGATAAGGAGAATCCACGCAAGGTGGTGTTGATGGGGAGAGTTAGAAAAGCCAGAACATATTCAGAAAGGAACGACAAGAAAATCAGAGGACTAGAAATATATCTGTATAAAGAGAGAGTGAAGAATCTAAATGACCCTTTCCAACTTTATGATTTCTCTTCACCTTCATTCTCATTGTGTCCTAACAATACTGTCTGAAATAGGCAAAAAGTAAATTACTAGTCCAGAATTATCCAAAGCTTCATTACATAGTATGCATTTGAACCTAGTTCTTCTCGTTTATTACATTCTAATAGTGACTATATTGTATAATTATATAGGCTGTACCTCTCTTGTAAGAAGAGAGTCTTGTGAGTGCATTGAATGAACTGGCTAAAGTTTGAAGCATAGGCTCATAGTTATGATGTTCGAGCAGAAGAAATATTTTCTGGAATCATTGATTCTGCATCAATCTTAAATTGGGAACATACAAGGGCTGAAGACCTTTTACAGGAACATCAGGCTTTGCTTTTTCTCCTGTTTTAGGTGTCACTCTGTCAGTTGGAAGCTGATGTGGCTTGGATGGATTTCATTAGCCATCCACCTGAGGGAGAATGGCAACGTATAGCTCCCTTGCGTGTCCTCAGTTTTGATATTGAATGTGCTGGACGTAAAGGTATTGAGGGCAAATAAGCTATATAAGAATTGCTATCATGTTTAAGACCCTGATAAGGAGAGGAGTGTCAGGTGAAATATTCAGCTGGTAATTAAATATATCAGCTTAAGCTTAGAAGTAGGAATAATTGCCATCGTACACAACAGAGCAGTTGTCAGAAGGCTCATATAGCACACATACAAGGTTGCATTAGCTATATGAGCCAAACAAATCCTTTGAATAAATAAAGTGGGTGTGTGATTTAATTGTGCAATGCTTTATTGATTACAAATTAGAATTATCAATTACTCATTATTTTGTTAGATGCAAGTTCTGCTTTAAAAGAATGGTTTAGAAACAGATCCACAGTTTTAAAAGCTTGGAATATGGGCTCTGAGGCTTCCCATCTAAGTTAAGTTATAACAATAAACTGCTTATAATTCAGATTCAATAATAGATGCCCTTGAGAATGAAAAGTTGAGGTTATATTAATGTTATCTTAATGTTCTCTTCTATACCACATCCCTTTTCTGTGTTTTGGCTCAGGCATTTTTCCTGAACCTGAGAAGGACCCAGTAATCCAAATTGCCAATATGGTTCTACGTCAGGGTGAAAAGGACCCTTTTGTGCGTAATGTCTTCACACTACAAAACTGTGCCCCCATTGTGGGCTCTCAAGTGCTTTGCTTCTCAAAGGAGGATGAACTTCTTAAGGTAATGCTTACATTATCTTAGATCTCTGGAATGTGATGAGCAATGTTTTTCAAACTTAACAGCTTCAAGATATATGGGCATCAGTTCTTAGAATCCCCCAGCCAGTATGCTTAATATGGAATGTATAGTTTTAGGATTTGTGTGTGGATAATATACCCCATTTTAGGTCATATTTATGTAGAAATACTGAAAATTCAAAAGATCACAAACTTTTAGGCACCACTGTAGATAATATGATGGAATGCTGCACAAGTTCCAGTGTGAACTGTGAAAGTGATGATAAGGGATGAATATATGTGGTCTAATGGGTAAGACAAGATAGTTCTGTGGGAGTGCTCACAGCTTTACTATGTGAGACAACCCAGGAGCAATAACAGCAAACAGAGGTTTGTAATAAATAGTGGTTTTATCTACAAAAGAATATATACTGTACATACACGTACTGTAGGCAGAAATCAAACAATCAGTAAATTACAGCAGGGAAGAACACAGGGCGAGAGAGAGAGACACCCTAATAGGGTCGTGTTATTATTATACAGGCTCTTGAATGGATAACAGCTAAAAACCTTGCTGACTCATTCCCATCATTACATCAGTGCATCATTGCATCATCATAGCAGCTGGTCAGCTCTTAAATCACTACCCTGACAAGTTCTTACGTGCTAGACTATGAAAGAAGCAGGATGTGAAAAATATGGAATGCATTAAAACTGACATAAAAAGTGGGGAAAATAATATCCTAGACATATGGAGGAAAAACAACAGAATAGATTATATAATTTCTACTTGTTCTACCCATTCCTCCCTCTTTCAGTTTGGCCTGGGGTTGGTTTGTTTATTCATCATATTACAGGAAACCTTGATTTACTATATCTTGGAGCAATGGATTTCATATGTAATGGATAATTTTTCTGCATTAAGTGAAATTTTATTCGCATAAATAAGTATCTACATTGCAAGTCAGTGGTGGGTTGCTATCAGTTCGATCCAGATCTCGCGAACCGGTAGTAGTGGTGGCAGGAGGCTCCGCCCACCCGCCCGGATGTCATCACGGATTATCTGTGCATGCGCAGAAGTGCTGCGCATGAGCAAAGCAAGCATGCGCTCCTGTACCTTACCAGTAGCGAAGGTAAGTGGAACCCACCCTTGTTGCAAGTGACTCCTGTCCAACTGAATGGACATTTGTTTATGACTTTCAGTCCCTCCCTCCAACTAGTCCATTAAAATGAGGCTTATTATATTGGAAAAAAATGCAAATATCCAAGGTTGAATGTGAGCAAATATAGTATGAGAAGAAAGGCTTAAAAAGCCATTGGTTTTAAGATACAAGAAACTTTATTTCATGGGATTGTCATTTCTGAATAGAGTAGTTACTCTCATAAGCATGAAGTTTTTCCATTCTGATCTAAGCACTTATGTACTTGGGAGGGGATGATGGAATAGTTGTATCTCTCCTGAATTAACATAGTAGGACCATGGAAGATCTCTGCCTTAAACTCTTGCAGAGCTGAGAACTAAACTAAACAATAAATAATTCTGGTCCAAATAGGCTGATGTCTTTGTAAATGACTTCAGTTGTTTCAGATTCTTCTGATGAATCTGAAGCTGATACGCTTCAAATCATAGCATCAGCTTCTAGTTTCAGCTTCATTTATGTGCATGCACGAGAGGCCCACATAGACTCATTAAGCATTCAAAAAAATAAAAGTAGGGATTGGTTACAGCTCAGTGCTTCGTTAGGAAGGATCCAGTTTGCTTTGAAGAAAAGATTAAGCTGAGATGGTAGAGAGCACTCCTTTGAGTTACTGCTGCCGGAGAAGCAGATTGCAGGTTACCCAGTTAACTTTTGATGCATGGATGTTTTGTTTTGATGCTGGTCATACTTTTTTTTGAATAGGTAAGTTACCTGTAGCAACTGTTTTGTAAGAGCATCTCTCATGCTTCATGATCCAAATATGTCCTTTGGGCTAAAATGCCTAAAAATTAATAAATGTTTTTGCAGACTTGGGCAGAATTTATACGAACTGTAGATCCTGACATCATCACCGGCTATAACATCCAGAACTTTGACCTTCCTTATCTCCTCACCAGAGCCCAGACTCTCAAGGTAATCTGCACGTTTCCTTCTAGTAGTACTTTTTGTTTTCTTCAAATGATTTGTATTAAAAATATTTCATCAATCTATAGAAGGGATTGCTAATTGAATAGGAATCTCTTTTTTTTCATCATTTTCATCAACAAACTATAATCAATTAATTCCATACTGTAATCTTACCTATAAATTCACTTGCCCTGCCCATACTCTTCATTCATGCCTCAAAGCTTGTTTTTCTTCATCCCCAGGTCATCCCATTTCCCTTCCTGGGTCGTATTCTTTCCCGCAAGTCTGTCATCCGTGACTCTTCCTTTCAGTCTAAGCAGATGGGACGGAGGGAGAATAAAGTCATTAACATGGAAGGCAGAGCCCAATTTGATCTACTTCAGGTAAACAAAAAAAGTCCCCCCTCCCCATAGTTCCATTTTAGTGATGGGAAATTGAAGCTGAGAGGCAGTGACAGCTGGAGGCTCTCAGATACAAGGCCCAGTATTTTGCCTATGGGGACATGCAGTCTCATAATTTAGCTTTTCCTCTTCCTGTAGGTTTTATTGAGGGATTACAAATTACGCTCCTACACATTGAACGCTGTCAGCTACCACTTCCTGCAGGAGCAGAAGGAAGATGTCCAGCATTCTATTATTACAGACTTGCAGGTAACATTTGATAGCCAAGACTTGCAAGTAGTAATTTTTTCCCTTGGTATAAACACCCTTTTGTAGTTGTTACTGGTTTGGTTATCCCCTTGGCCTCTATCTGTCAAATGATTGATTTGGATGACTATCAAGTCGTCTGTGATACGTTGTACAGTAGAAATGAGAAATCCAATCCATCTGCCAGATCTCTCTGTCAAATTTGCTATGCCTCTGTCCTTAAAGCCTATACCCCCTTAGGGAATAACTACTTAAAGATATTTCTCTTGAAGTGTTGGTGGGTTCCACTCTCACTTTTTCTCAGTGTTCCTTATTTAAAGTAGTGTACATTTTGAAGTCGTAAATACCATCCCTTTTTAGCAGTTTATATTCCTTCCTGTAAGATCAAGGAACCAAATGTTAGTTTTTGCAGAGCTCATTTAAAACTGTATGGAAGCAAAACAATCCTCTGCTTGCATCTGCACCTCTCTTTTCCTTTTTGTTTTTGTGCCTATATTTTTCTCTCACTTCTCAGACCCTCCCTGACTTCTTGACGCCCTTACATTGGTGTTTTACATGGCAAACAGAGTGAGTGCTCTTCTAGTGCTTACTAGAAAGGACTACCTAAACATTACATAGCATGTGTCTTCCTCTCTTGATTTTGTCATTCTCTCTTGATTTTTGGCATGTCATTGATATAGAAAGCCCTCCTTTTTTTTGATATAGTTAATTCTTATGAATATCCTTTGCTTCTTTACTTCTTTCTGAAAGGGATTTTTTCCCCTTTAGAACTTATATAATATGCTTTTACAATTCCAGAGAAAAACAAATAAAATCAACTATTAAACAGCCATAAACTTTTCAGGAGAAGAGATAACTAGGAAAAACCCCTTTATGTTTGGCAGTAATCCCTTATACCTCAGATAATAAAATTAAACAAAATAAAAGGCACAGTCACAATACAAAAAAGTTATTTTGACTTGGACAAGTTCTTTAAATCTTGTGAATCTCAGATGGAAAAGTCAGTGTATTATACAAACTAAATTACCGGTACATCAGGTGTCAGGATTTAATAGACTGTCGTTTTTAATTTCTCTGTGCAATAGAGGGAGCAAGGGACACAAGGTGTCCTCGCTTTTGAAGGCCAGCACAAGGCTTTCATCACTGGAGAGGAACTGTATCAGATGAATTAGAAAAGCCCAACAGCCATTTTGTTCCATTCTTGATCAGGGAACATAAAAGAAAATGGATTAAATGGTGCACATAGCTGATGTCCCCTCTCAAGGAAGATGACATATTTTGGGCAGTTCAGGTAGAACTACCTTTCCCTGAAAAAGACATGAGACGTTCCTCAGTGATCCTGCTAGCTTTGCCTATGCTTTGCCTTTTCTCTTTGAGAAGGAAAAATGTGATGAGACACAGGTAAAATGTGAGGTGACAGCCCATTCAGGGTAGGGGTGGGAGGTTGTCAGACTGGCCGATCAATAGTTCCTCATACCTGCCATAGAGTATGGGTGCTCAATCTTTTTTTGGGGTCAAGGTTCTTATATCATTTTTTATTAAGGCTGCATGTGTACGTAACAAGGTGAAAAGTGGGTGTCAGCTAAAGGGGAAGTGCATATGTCCAGAGTAAAGCACATAATTTTCTTTAACCTCATTCACTTCTTTTCATAAATTGATTTTTCTCATTCCACCCTCCTCCATTATCCAATCCTAAAATCTCTGTTTAATTTAAATTTATATATTAAAAATTAACAGTGAATGAAGAAGTTAGCCTTGAGTTGAACTTCAGTCAGTTATGCTTGAGGTGAATCATTGAGCAGCTAATAGAACTATCAAACAGTTATTTTTTCTACGTCTGAAAAGAGTGGGGATGAGTGTTCCCAGGGCAGGATCTCAGCCGACCCATAAAATCAACAGACAGAGGGCTATACCACCCTTCTCCATTCCCATACCAAGTTGCTGTCTCTACCACTTTGCTTCCATTACTTGGAGAACACTACATGAACAGTGCTTCCATTGCTACCTGGAATTTTCCTGTTTCCCTATAAATTTGGCCAGCTTTTATACCTAAGACATATACATGCATATATTTCTTGACTCCTGTTTTTCCCCTCAGAAATGAATGTTTGTGTTATTTAAAAAGAAACCAACTGGATGAATTTAATCATTTTTGTATTTATTTGCCCAGAGCTGAAATGATACCTCCTTGTCCTCCTCTTGACCATCTTTAACTTCCCCTTGCAGAATGGTTCAGATCAATCACGTCGGCGACTGGCTGTGTACTGCCTCAAGGATGCCTATCTGCCCCTGCGGCTTTTGGAGAAGCTCATGTGTGTCATCAATTACATGGAGATGGCAAGAGTCACTGGGGTACCTCTTGGCTATCTCCTAGCCCGGGGGCAACAAATCAAAGTGGTGTCCCAACTTCTGCGGCAGGTAAGGAAAAATTGATCTTTTGCCAACAAGGCCAGAAGATCATGAGTAGACAGGCGGGGGGAGGGGGGGAGATCAGAAGCTCAAATCTTGAGAAGATACTTACTATGCAATGTGTGCAAAGAAATACAGAGTGTAGCTGTCCACTGCCTCAAAGATGCTTATCTGCCACTGTGATTTTTGAGAAAGCCCGATGTGTATCGCTAATTACATGGAGATGACGAGAGTCCCTGGGTTACCTCCCAGCTAATCCCACATTTATCCAGTAGCAAGTTGATATCTATTTAGTTCTGTATACATAGAACTGTTGTAAAATAGTATTTCCTCCTAAGAAGGACCTTATAAAATTGAATTCACAACTGAAGAATTAAAAGCGCAAGTGCAATATCGATATATGGTCCAATTTTTATTACTTTACTACTATTATTAATTACTATTTTATCTCACCCTTACTCCAGAGAACTCATGGTAGCATATATTCTCCCACTATCTCACCTCTAATCCGAACAACTGTTCTTTAAAAAGGGATGGGCTAATGGATAATTCAGTAGTAACTGATTGAAGACCCGAACCTGGATTCTCTTGTCATCATAGGAACCACCATGTTGGTTTTCTTATCAGTCATATTTATGTCTTGCGACAGTCATGAACAGACTCTCAATGGCTTTAGATAAAACTACAGAATGTCTCTTCTTTCCAGTTCCTTTTCAGTTGTCCTTCATTGCTTTCTGGGTTTAGAATCCATGTGGTTTGTTCAGTTTCAGTTTATGATGATACTTGAATCCAGCCGTTTTACTCAAGCTATTACCATTTAGACTTAGAATATCCCATGAGCCAAGCCAACCATAGGTGATCAACAAAGCATAATTAAAACCTCATGGTTTAATTTGTAAATCTGGCAATTGTAACTTTTGTAAGTTTGGATTGTAAAAAAAAACTTTCAGTGTTATACTGCATTTTATTTCTTCACTGCTATCTCTAACCACACAAGGAATATTTCTCTGAATATATATAAACTGACAATATGAAAAAAACTAGAAAAAAATACATAAATCATGATTCATCAGTAATAATTAAATGTGTATCATATTATAAGGTGTGAAGAAATGGGACAGTTTTTAGTTAAAAGTTTACTACTCCCCAACCCATTCTTATTGAATGGGTTTAGGGAATTGAACTTATTTTTTGCCAGGTATATTGAAAATATAATGGATAAAAAAGAAGCATGGTCAGTAGACTTAGGAGAGGATTTAATGGAAGAAGTCCCACCTAATAGCAGAATGATAAGAGTTGCCCCAGAGCTGATATTTTTCTCTGTTCAAAGGCTATGAAGCAGAATCTGGTGATGCCAGTGGTGAAGACAGAAGGTGGGGAGGACTATGCAGGTGCAACTGTCATTGAACCTCTGAAAGGGTAAGTTTTGTAAGTCCAGAAATTGGGGAAATGAGAATTTTCTTACATTAATGGATGTGAGGGTGGGAAGGAATGTATATGTGCGTGTATTGTGTACTCTTGTTGAGAGGTGTTGCAGAAATGCATAAGCAAACCTCGTGTTGTCCTAAAGGATGGCTCTTTTTGCTTGGTTTGGTTCAATGAAATGCATGAACATGGTGCTTTGAAAATATGTGTCAGTTAGATTCAGGCCATGTTAAAGTAAGCCATAACAACAACATATATGAATCTAATTATTGAGCTTTTCTTCCATATGTAAATCTTGGCTTCAGAAATAAGGAGTGGAAGTGGAAAAGTGGACCATGGTGAGGAACAATGAGCTGGGTCCCAGGCTATTTCAGCTTTGGGCAATGGAGAAGCAGGCTCTAATTTGAGAAGGAGATCCCATGAAATTGACTTGAATGCCAGACTCTTCCCTTGATGAAAGGTGGAAGAAGGATGAAACGATTTTCTGGAGGGATAGCACAGAACAGCATTTTGTCTTACTCAGTCCTATTCAGCTTGCCAGATTCATTGGGACTGCAGTTAAAGACATATTTGCTGAGATTTCTGGGACTTGTAGTTGTAAGATCTTTGGAGAATGCCATTGGAGAAGAGGAGGGTGGTAGTGGAGGAGGAGATGAGAGAGAGATTAGATTACATAAGATTAGATAGACAGACAGATAGATAATTCTCTCCCTTTCTCTTTATATGTGAGGGGAGGTATACACATTTAAATAAAAATATTTCCCTTTTAGCTATTATGATGTGCCAATTTCAACCTTGGACTTCTCCTCATTGTACCCTTCAATCATGATGGCTCACAATCTGTGCTATACTACTCTTTTACAACAGGGGGCAGTTGAGCGCTATGGGTGAGTGAAGAAGGATTGTTATCTTAATAACCTCTTAGTCAGTTACCCGGAGAATTGAATAGGAGGAAATCATAAATGATAAAATCTACTAGTCCACATTTTCTGGAGTTGGAGGGACAAGAATGGCTTCTTGATACTTCATGTTGCTTGGCACAATTATTTCCCCAAAAACTGATTGGTTGTAAGCCTCATTATTTGCAAGTTTGATTTATCAAAATCCAAATACCCCAGATCATCTCCAATAACATTTTTATTGTAGATGAATTTAAGGGATTTGAAGCAGGAAACCTGACTAGGGAGGGGAGATGGCTGTGGTATATTATTGAAGCAAGATGTAATTTAAACTAAGATGGTAACGTTTAAACTAGCAGTCTGGACTTCTAGATTATTTATGATCTGACCGATTGTTTCCTGTTTTACTAGGCTTTCCCCAGAGCAGTTCATTCGCACCCCTACGGGGGACCATTTTGTGAAGTCATCTGTTCGTAAAGGTCTTCTGCCTGAGATTTTGGAAAACTTGCTGGCTGCTCGTAAGAGGTGAAAAGGAAGGAATGTGGGCATATAGGTCATAACATGTAGAATATAGGAACAGAAATTGACTACTTGAACAGAATAGAACACATTAATAGTTCTGGTTCAGTCTTGCTATCTCCAATTAAGAAAATGTCAGGAAGCAGGGCAGTAAGTGAGTAGGGGACATTATCTAAAGCACTGGATAGCTGTTCTGATCAGAATGGACATTTATTGGCTTAGATTACAGTATGAACCCAGTCATTGGCAGGAGCCTGAATCCATAGATATTTTTGAACACAGACTGAGCTGGTAAGGGAAGCTAGTAAAGAAGAACTGGTGGTTTTACCTCATTCTGTTCCCTCTTTGGTTAAGGGCCAAGCTAGAATTGAAGCAGGAGACTGACCCATTTAAGCGACAGGTGCTGGATGGACGGCAGTTGGCTCTCAAGGTCAGCGCCAATTCTGTTTATGGATTCACTGGGGCCCAAGTAGGCAAACTACCTTGCCTTGAAATATCACAGGTAAGCCTGACCTCTCTCAAAGTTAGGGGAGTTCCACAGGATCTGTTTCTGAATGCTGGAAGCCATTGTTATGTGTCTCCTGTTGGGGCAGTTGTGCATCTACACAGGACACATCCATGTTTCAATAAAGCATTTGCTATTAGTTGTCACTAAAACTGATTCCTGTCTTTGCCCTCTTGTTCCTTCACTTGCTAATAGCTTGTGCTGAGATATTAAAAACTATTTTTACATTTTAAACTGAACCAATGTTTTATTCAGTTGATCAACTGAAGCTTTAAAGCAAGCAGAAGGAAGTAGAAAAATAATAATAATTTCATGTGAGGGGTTAAAGAATTGCCATCGAATGTTTTTTTTAAAAAAATACTATACAAATCCTTGTCTAGGACAAGGTAATCTAAGATAGCCATTTCTAATTTGGACATTTTTGAATATAACTTCTACAAATCTCAACCAACAGAACCAGAAATAAGGGATGATGGTAGCTATAGTTGTGCAATATTTGGAAAGAGTGATGTTGAAGATGATTTGTATGGTGACAATTAACTATGACAACTAAACAAAAACTCTGGCAGATAGATGTGCTTTCTCTGAAAAGATAGGCAAGGGGAAGCCCATGATCTATCTGGGATAGCCCAAGGTGTCGGGTTATCTATGCCCGAAAACAAAATGTTCAGCTTTTGCATCTTGATTATTCTAGCTACAATTCTACAAGTTTGGTTAGATAGCCAGCAGATATTGCTTGGAAACTAAGCAGGCTTTCTAAGTGGGTGGGGAACTTAATATCAAGAGATCGAATTTCAGGGGTCACTATTTTCTAGAAACATTGTAAGAGAATTAAAGATTGGTTTTAATTGTCTGATTTATTGGCTTTTGAGTACTATTGAACATGGTCTCTATAAGATATATGCACTTTTTAAATTGTAGCAGTTTTTTTAAAAAACACGACTGTTAGGGAGGAGCATATTTAGAAAATGATTCAGAGGAAGTGCTTTATACTAAATGCAAGCACAGCACCTCTCTGCTGTTCGTCTAATGGAAGCCTGGTTTTGCCTGACTTCCAATGAGTCTAGAAGCAGAAAAGATGCCACTGCTTTGAAGAATCTACTAATTAATTCAATTCTTGAAGCATTGGCATTTTCCCCCCAGTCCTACTGATTGCTCAGTTTTTACTCAGGACTTCTCTTAAAGTCCTTCTGCAAGCACTGAAATGCCTCTGAACAAGATAATATTAACAGCCCAGTTGCTACTCACCAACTAGATTTCCTATTAGAGGAAGTGATAAGAACCAATTTACTGGGTCAGAGTCAAAAACTGCCTCCCCGTTGCAAAAATATCTTCCTCCTTCTGATTTAATTAAAAGGAAAAATGAAAGCATATTTTGTAAACCAGATGCTGTAGTTGTGATAAGCTGAAATGCCTTCTAGTTGTTAGTTAGAAATAATCCTTGATTCTTTTTCTATTTACACAAATTCTGTACAGTAAATACTCTTGCCTGGGTATGTATTGCTAAAAAGTTCTCCTGGACTTTTGGATTTCTTTGGGAAGCTTACCTGGTACTGTGTACTACAGATGCATACAGTTTGTATCAAAAATGGTGTTTATAAAAATATATAATCTGAGAGAGAAAGTAGATTTTTTTTTTTCAAAACACCAATTATTTCTTCTAGCAAATTAAGGAAGCCTGAAGTTCTTAATGTTTAGCAAAGATGCTAACATCAGATACAGTTTTTGATAGAGACAGTAACAGAGACTGATGAAAACTATTGATTGAATGTGGGACATTGAAATTTAAAGTTACTGCGACTAAACCTTTTTGTTTGTCTCCTCAAAGAAAAAAATAATGCTTGCTAACTATTCCTTCTCAGAGTGTGACTGGATTTGGGCGTCAGATGATTGAGAAAACAAAGCAACTGGTAGAATCCAAGTACACTATTGCCAATGGATATAAGGCTGATGCAAAGGTGAGCAGAAGTCTGAAATACTTGCTTGCACAGAAATGAATTTGAAATATTTGAAATTAAGCAAAAGTCATATGAAATTCAAGTCTACTTCTGACTCAAGAGCTAAGGTTGCCTATGCTTGCCTTAGAGGAGAAAGCATTTGCTATATTCCAATATTGGTTAGCATAAAACCTGTCTTGTCATCTTTTGGGATCTTGTTCTCAACACAATCTTTACACATTTCTTTGGCAACTTGTAATGGTATGTGGGAATGACTTTGAGTGACAGGAAGAAGAGCCACAGACTAGACAACCGTTATGCAAAAGGTATCTTAGCCCACAAAGACAATGGGGGTGTGGGAAGCATTTCAGAAGGGACCCTCCCTAGTTTACTGGCAAGTAAAAGTAAAGGCTGGGAGAAATGTTTTCTGAATTACATGATTCTGTCACTGTAAAATAAAGTGACAGAAATAAAGATAATTTCGGTATTCATGACTTATGCTTCTTACCTGGTCTACTTCAAAGGGCTGACCCAATGTGATCATATTTCCAATGAGTTCAAGGATTGGGGTTAAGCATTGGAGGGAATTGCATCTTCTCACTATAGGAAACGAGGGAGAGGCAGAATTGACAAAAAGAAGAGTGGTGGTATATTATTTTGACAAAGGAATCTAGTAGCTCTTTGGTGTGACTGAAGTCTTCCGAGATAAAGAAGGACAAAAGTTCTTGAAGTTTTCATTCTTTCCTTGAAGGTTATATATGGGGACACAGATTCAGTGATGTGTCGTCTGGGTGTGGAATCAGTTGCTGAATCCATGGAAATAGGCAGGGAAGCAGCAGCCTGGGTCTCCAGCCATTTCATTCCACCCATCAAATTGGAGTTTGAGAAGGTACGTTGATGATATTGAAGTAGGTTTGAATAAATACTTGACATAAGATTGTCAGGCTGTTTTCCAGTGTGGTCCTTTCAGGTGTGTACAAGCTGCACTTCTGAAATTACGTTTCTTACACCTCTGAAGAACATCTGTTCAGGGAAATTTTGTTATTGAATCCATTTTCAGGCAACTTCATACGTCTGTGTAATTGGCCATTCCCCTCATCCAGAACATTTTTTTTTCAATTTTGTAATCCAGCCTAAAGTCCTGGAATTTCCTGATAGACTCTCATTTGATCCTGCTTAGCTTTTTGAGATCTGCCAAAGTTGGTTAGGGGACTGCAACCCAGCATGGCATTTTTTTGTAAGAGGCAGATAGTGAAGATAGAACATAGTGATACTGAAAAGATGTAGAACGACAATAAATGTTAAGAAGCTTGAATAAAAATTACCAATATTAAGTTGTTCAGTGAATATTCAAATGTCAAACTAGAAACTATCTTAATTTTGAGAACACAGTTAATTTGTACATTTTTGTTTCATGCCTGGAAAAAAAACATTTTTAAGAATATGCGAGTGGCCTTCAAACTACTAGAATTCCTTAAACACACAACTGAAGATTTTCAGCTGTGTGTTTTCAGCTAAAGATTTTCAGTTGAACATTTTCAGCTAAAAATCTTAGCTCTACTTCAAAGTCTTCCATTGAGAAGAACAGAACAATAGAGAGTTTTGCTATATTGAATTTTATTGAATTGAAGTGAATACGCTACTTGGCCAGATGACATTAGACACACAAGGAATTTGTTTCTGATATAGAAGCACCCAATGTACATGCAGAGCAATAGGGAGAATAATAATAATTACTAATAAAAGGGGGAAGTAAAGAAGATAACAAGAAGGATAAATAATAATATTATAGCCACACTATATACATAGACAGACAGAACTGTGAGAATTAGATTTTCAGCATAAATGGCACAAATCCAGTTGCCTTGGCTATGATGCCCTATAGCACTGTCCCGAGGGAAGGAATTGAAGCAGTTCAGGATGTGAGGGATCTGCAGATATCTTCTCAGCCCTCCTTTTGACCTGTGCAACATACAGGAGATACTTCTATGGAAGGTAGACTCATTGCAATTATTCTTTCTGTAGTCTTGACCATCCATTGGTGTCTGTACCTGTCCTGTTTGCATACAGATATTTCTCAAAGTGGGATCTTTGTACCCTTTGCCCAGCCTTATTGCATTTCCTAAATTTTCCTTCTTGTCACTTCATATTCCCTTTCACTCGGAATACTACCAAACATCTTCCCAAGCCTACTTAACAAGCTAATTCCTCTACGGTTTCTGCATTCATTCTTGATACCGTTTCATTGATTTCCATTCTTCCAGCCTTTAGGCAAGGTGCCATCTTCATGAATATGTTAAAGATTTTGTCCATTCCATAAACAAAGTGTATTTCTTCTCAAACCAGACAGTTATTTCTTCAGTTCCTGAAATACTATTCAAATTGGATAAATCTTCTGCAATGGAATCTGGTTTTGGGAATTATACAAAGCCATGATGTTTTCTCTACCAGGTATATTTTCCATATCTCCTGATCAATAAGAAGCGCTATGCTGGCCTGTACTTTTCCTCCAATTCTGATATGCATGACAAGATGGACTGCAAGGGCATTGAGACTGTGCGTCGAGACAATTGCCCCCTGGTGGCAAACCTTATCAACACCTGTCTACAGAAGCTGCTCATAGATAGGTCTGTAAATTTTAGCAGGAATTGTTGTGTCTGATGAGCACCTGAGTAGCAGGAATGTGTTTGTAGAGGGACAGTATGAGCAAATATTTGTAACTTCTAAACTATATTTTTAATTGCAATGTTTTTGACTTCTACATAGTATATCTTTGGGGTGGGCAGTGTGGGAATTTTAGTCTCTGTCCTCCATTCCCCTTCCTTTTTTGTCCTCACAGCAGCTCCCTGTGGTAGGATGGGCTGAGAGAGAATAACTGACCCAAATCATACAATGAATTTTGCAGTGAGTGGAACAATTTGAAGCGGGGTTTCCCCAGTTCATTGTAACATTCTGAGCAGTCGACTACATTAGCTCCTAAAATGACACATTGCCCCTTTGGTATGAGACTTTTTATCCCCACTCCCACTCCAGCCTTTCTCTAGTTTCTGAAACTCAGAATTGGTGTCCTACTCAAGAGGACATTCCTAATTGTTACATGCACTGTATTTTTCAGGGACCCTTCTGGGGCTGTCACCCATGCCAAGGAAGTGATCTCGGACCTGTTGTGCAACAGAGTTGACATTTCACAGTTGGTGATCACCAAGGAATTAACACGCACTGCAGATGAATATGCAGGGCGCCAGGCTCATGTGGAATTGGCCGAGAGGTGAGCTGAAAGCGAGAGAGAATGCTTTAATTCACTTTTTCTTGTTTAAGAATATAGCAAGAGTCCTCTAAATTGAACATACTTTGTATCCAGATTTGGAGGAGCTCAACTAAATCTGTTAAACAACCTTCTATTGATCCAGTCCACTAGTCCTCTTCTAGTCTAATCTACTTAGCCTAATCTAGAAACAAATTTCCAAGGACTTATTCCTAGCCGTGCAATATGCCAAGGATTGAACCTGGAACCTTTTGCATATACAAAGCACATGCTCTCTCAACTATGTCTGGCCCCTCTCTTGGGATTTGATAAGGAAACTGTCATGCAGCGTTGAAGGTTTGGAGCTGCCTCATCTCTCTCTCCCCACAGTCTTGCTACCCTAAGTGATACCCACCCTGCCTGTCCTCAGGGCAGCGGAAAAAGGTGTGTGGGCGTGGGGTGGCCAGCCAGGCATGACTGAGGGGAAAGGCAGAAATAGTCGTGGTGAGTGCAGCTGCAAGTGGAACTTCTGCGACACCCACCTCTTGGCTCTGGGCTTCCTGTCTTGGCTGAAGCCATGTCATCCGCCACCCAGAGACACCTGGGAGGTAACAGGGGCCTTTTGGCTGCTCCACTGCCTCTCGATAAACAAAAGTTTAGAAGGTGAAAGTGCCCTGTTGCAGCCACATTTGTGGAGGAGACCTAACACTAATTATACTTTCTGCTGTATATTTTCCGTGCCATTCTCCATCCCTTCAGCCCTTTTTGATTCCTTCTCAGATCTGTCTCTGCTCAAGGAAAATACTCCACTTGGATCATATGTCAAAACTTTCCATCTCCCATGTCTTGAAATTTCTAATTCTCCAGAGCTGCTTATTCTGCTTCCCACTTTCTCAGTCCATCCTGACTCTGCTCAGGCTTGATTTGCAGTCTTCTTAACCTTCTTCTGAGATTACTCAGTTCCAGTTTGCCTGCAGCCCTCCTATCACCTTTTCCTTTAGGATGCGTCGGCGAGATCCTGGCAGTGCTCCCAACTTGGGAGATCGAGTTCCTTATGTTATTATCAGCGCAGCCAAGGGTGTTGCAGCGTACATGAAATCTGAAGTAAGTATGGAAGAAGGATGATGATGATAGCAATGAGGAGTTATACATGGAAGACAAGGCTAATAAGGTTTCTTGTTGTGATGATCAATATCTTGTACAACCAAGGAGTAAACATTTCTTCCCTACTATTATCAGAATGCATGTGCACCTGGACCAGTAGGCTGTTAAGTGGCTTTCAGCCTTCAGTAAAGGGATAAAGTAGCTTTGTCCTTAGGTGCCCTGGCAATCTAGTTCTCCTGTCTTGGACCCTAGCAATGCTTATTGCTTATGCCTTTCTTTCTTATTTTAGGATCCCATCTATGTGTTGGAGAACAACTTGCCTATTGATACCCAGTACTATCTTGAGCAACAACTAGCTAAGCCTCTCTTGCGTATCTTTGAGCCTATCTTGGGAGAGGGCAAAGCTCAGAATGTTTTACTGAGTGAGTGTGATCTTTGACTTTCAACAAAAAATCAAAATAGAACCTTGATTTTGATTTAGAATAACAGGCTTGGTAGGGATCTTCGCTCTGAACTTTTAGTAACAATTAAGACTTTTAAGCTCAGACTGTCTGCTTTTCAATTGAGCCATAGGAAGGCAGCTGGGATACTGAATGAGAAGGAGCAAAGATATACTAAATGGTCTTTGGGAGCACCTGCCTGCTATTGATTAGCTTTGGAAGCTAATTGGGGGCTTCAGACTGAGAAGCCTGAAAATCAAAAGAATCTCGGATTGCTGCCAAGAAAACTCCATAGGCATGTCATTGGGAATCAGACTTGATTTGAAGGAAACTATGAGATTTACTGATTGGGCAGGTGAAATTTGGATTCATGTATTTATTTGTACCCACCTTCATTATTTTTATAAACAACTCAAGGCGGTGAACATACTTAATACTCCTTCATCCTGTTTTGCCCAACAATGATAACCTGGTGAAGTGAGGTGAGCTGAGGGAGTTGGGCCCAATGTCAGGCAGCTTTCGTGTCTAAGGGAGGATTAGAACTCATGTCTCCTGCTTTCTAGTCTGCTGTCTTAATCAATAGACCAAACTGGCTCTCTAGCTTTTTTCACAACAGCAAGAATATTTTTTGTACTGGGGCTTTATTTTTCTAAGCTGCCCAGAGTCACTGAGAGTGAGTTGGATGGCCATATACATTTTCGTGATAAATAAATAAAAACATGACTGACTGGGCAGGTGAAATCATAGTATTTTCCCTAATATGCATAAAGATCTGGGCTGTGGGGTGTATGATCCTTCATATTTTTCCCTTGCAGAGGGAGAACATACTCGCTGCAAAACAGTATTGACAGCCAAAGTTGGAGGACTCATGGCTTTTGCAACTAAACGAAGCACCTGCATCGGTTGCCGGGCTGTGCTCAACCACCACGGTGAGATCCTGCCTCTACCCACATGTCTTCTCAGAGTCCATTAATTTTTTTCCCTTCCCCCATCTCTCACGTCTAACCAACAGTGCATGTTGCAAGTTCCTATTGCCGGAACTTGCCAAAGAGTACAGAAGCTGCGCCTCTGTTACCAGCAGGAAAACTCTTGCAATAGATCAACACACTTCACAGTTTGTGACCTCTGCTGTTGCCCCAGTACTTTCTCTCTCTTCGGTCTCCTTGAAATTTATAGGAGGGAGAAAAGTGTATATTGTAGGAAAAGAGATGAACGTTCAGATGTTGGCATTTGCCTTGGATGAATATGAAATTAATAGGCAGCAAAGCCTATTACCAGGATTCCTGGCTTCTTTGGGAGGAGATTGATTTCTGGAATATGGTTTAGTACAGACATGTGCAACTTCCGTTGGTTGAAGGGCTGCAGCAAGCTTTGCACGTCATGTGTTAAAGGATGCAGTCCAAAAATGGAAGAACTCTCAGGACTTATTTTGGGAACACATTTCTGAATGAAACTGGTGTTTTACATTTATGCAAGACTTAGTATATCTATGCTACACCCTTAAACACACTACAAAATCCAAAAGCAATGCAAAGAAATGAATTTTTTTAAACCTACCTGTTTGTGATAGGATGGTTCTGGGGGCTATGAAACGATTTCTGGCGACCTGTACATTTTGCATTCAGTAGAGAGAAAACTTGGGAACAAGTTAATTGAATTATCTGGGAAAGTTTAAAGAAGATTTCTTGAACACTTCAAAAGGGAATATCACAAAAGTTTTCAGTAGTGTTTTCTTTTTGTGGTCCCGTTATCTTGCAAACTAGACCGCAGTTAATCAAAAGGCAGGTGCATAACAACAACAAACTGAAAGAATGAATAACTTGAGATTAGTGAAGCAAGTGGCTTAAACGACTCTTCGGCCAAGGCCCAAATTACACCGAAATATTCTGAGATAATAGGACTTTCTATAAATTCTTTTCCAGAGGCAGAGATCATTTAGGTGCCAGATACAAGTAAAATTCATCCAACCCTTTGTTGCAAATAAAATATAGCTTTTTGTTTCTCTGTGCCTTCCTGGCTGCCCCTTTCCTTCAGAATGGATTTGAGAATGTTACTCCATGTGGCAGAATCGGGTGAGTGGATATGCTTTTTTAAATATTTTCCTCTTCAACAGGTGCTGTGTGCAAGTTCTGCCTGGCTCATCAATCTGAACTTTACCAGAAGGAGGTAAATGATCAGGCAGCTTTAGCTGGTTATAATCCACTACTAAGGACTGATAGGCTGTTTCCCTGAAAAAGGAGAAATGTCAGATGAAAAAAAAAATGTTGAGTTTGCAAATCACAAATACTTGATTTGAGGTGGTGGGAGGAATTAGTTTAAGTGGTTAAGATTAACCACTTGGAAACTGGTGGCAGTTTGAAAGTAGAATATTCTGGTAAGAGCATAAAGACTAAAAATCTGAACTCAGAAATCAGAAAATCCCTAATATAAGCAGTCCTGTCCTTGGTTGGGGTGAACCTGTAGAGCCAAATGTAACCTCTGGCTCCTTTTTTTAATCAAGTGCTACTTTTTAACTTAAACCTCTCTATCTTGACTACCACAACCTAAACTGGGAAAAAAAGTCAAAATGTAGATGCCAATTTACAGGGATAAGAACAGTGTTCCCTATGGCCCATTGTGACCAGAAAATTACTGTAAATATTGTATTTTTTGGACTATAAGATGCTCCGGATATCAGAATCATATTAGTTTTAGAGGAGGAAAACGAAAAAAAATCTGCCTCTGCCTCCCAGCAATTTGCCTCCTTGCAGCGAACAGCCTAGTCAGCTTCAGCACAGCCTGATTTAGCATGAGCAGCTATTGGGCAGTTGGATTGGCCTCCCGGAATACCGCCCATGGGGCGCAAAGTGGCCGAAAATGGGGCATGTGGAGGCAGCAATAGGTGGTGGTGGCAATGGGCTGTGGCAATCCCCGCAGCCCGGAACAGCTGATCGTCAGTATTCTGGGAGGCCGATCCAACCAATCAGCTGCTCCAATCAGCTGCTCGTGCTAAATCAAGCTGTGCTGAAGCTGACCTTGCTGTTTGCTGCAAGGAGGCAAATTGCTGGGTGGCAGAGGCCGAAGGGTGGGGGCCGGCAGGTGGCTGGGGCTTTGGCAACATTTGCTCTATAAGACACACACACATTTCCACCCACTTTTGGACGGGTGTGTGTGTGAAGTGTGTCTTATAGTCTGAAAAATACAGTTTTTAAAAAAGATTGTTGTTCCCTTTGGCATATTCTTCCCCATATCTGGGCTCCCCCCCCCCTTTTTTTTTTTTTTTTTAAATTCACAACATGCTATGACCTATTTTTTCAAGTGTGTTTGGTGAATAGGCCATCACGGCCTGATTTGTACATGATGGAAAATACAGGCCAACCTTATGGCTTAGTGGGAGCATGAACTGGACTTTTTTCTGGGCTCCCCATCAGGGCTGTGGGGTGCTTAAATCTGGCCCATGGAGCCAGCCTGAAAATAGCAAAGTACCGGCCCCGTTTTCGGCCTGGATGGCATCCTGCACCACTCTGCAGACCAAAACAGGATACGGGAGAGCCGTGCACAGCCTCCTTGCGCCCCGTTTTGGCCGGCAGGGCACTGCAGGAGGCATTTGTCCTATCTCTTCCCCCCCCCTTTCCTTCTTGGCTGGCCCATGAAGAATTACAATGCTGATCCGGCCCTTGAAGAAATCCAGTTTGACACCCCTGCTGTAAACTACTAACTGTTCAATGGAGATATCCCAGGGAAGTAAGTCACCTAGATTTTCACATCCAGCTCAAAGATTTCTGGGCTCCCCATTGCAACATGGATGTAGTAATGTACATACATACTTTGAGGATCCCAACAGCATATCTTTCTTTCTCCCCATAGGTGACCCATCTAAGCTGTTTGGAAGAAAAGTTCTCTCGTTTATGGACACAATGTCAGCGTTGCCAAGGGAGCTTACATGAAGATGTACTGTGTACCAGGTGAGGACTGATCACCCACCGCACCCTCTTATGGCAGCACAGGCTCTTGTATGTTCCCACGGGACATTGGGATAAAATATGGCTTTATGCCACCCCCCCCCAAGTGTTTACAACTGCTTATCAAGCTGGTTAGGGATCAGCAAACAGATGGCTCCCACGCAGAGGTAGGGGGCGGGGGTATACCTGAAGCCATTTATTGCCTTTATAAATATAGCACCTGCCAGCTGGCAAAGGGATTGGGAGGGAAAAGATAGAGCCTCATGTTGTGGTAGTCAGCATGTGTTAGCTGGGTTGTCTGGATTTAGAGAAGAGTGCAAGAGAGGTACATTTAACATGGGACATCGGGACAAGCAAAGCCTGGCTGCTAGAATTTTAAGAATTTAGGGGATAGAGTCTTGATGGGATAGATGGGCTTCTGACTGCAATATGGAGTAATCATTTAAATTTTCCTTTACATTAAAACCAACACATTATTTTGTGTAGATAGATAAGAAGCACTATACTCTCCACTCCCCACCCCCCGAAGTGGCATTAATTTTCTCATTGGGCTAGATTTAAATTGTGCATGATATCCTAAATGGAGTTAATTAAATCATTACTGTGTTCATGGTAGCCAGTAACATTCCAACAAATAAACCATATGATTTAACATAATGGCCTTGGTCGCAAAGCATCTAGTGTCAGATTTTCCCACAATGTGCTATACCATAAATTATCCTGTCTGAATCTACTCTATAGTAAACTCAGTCCCCGCTGTTCTTTATTTTATTTTGCAGTTATAATTTGTAAGAAGCATTTCTATGGAGGGTTATTTTAAAACCAGAATCTTCTAGCTTCTGTCTGAAATGATGGTATAGACTAGTGCTTCTTAAAGTATGGTCTGGGGATACCCAAAGACCTCCTTTTGGGGTCTGCAAAATCAAGATTATTTGCAGATCTTGAGGATGTTTGAAGAAATTTAACAATGCTACTCTTATTATTTTTTATTTGTTAAAAATATATAGTTTTTTAAAATGAAAAATATGTGTGTCAATATCTAATGGTATTAATACTGTTATTTTTATATGATTCAATAAACTATAAATACATCTATTTTAATTTGGTAAATATGGTAAATATCAATAAATATAACTCATATAAACAAAAGTTCTTTAGAGATCCTATATATATATTACAAAAATATTGCTTTGGCAGCTACGTGTCTCATTGTTTCAACTCGTCAGTTACCTTTAATTGGTTGAAACAGTACATTGCATAGCAATGATTTCTGAACTAAGGTACCTCAAAAGGGCTAACTTATAGAGTGCACCAAAATCCAGGACCCATGACTCCCATGTGATTGAAATTTGGCAAATTTGTGGTCATTTAACTGCCACCACACTGCTACCTGCATATTCAATAGATGGGTCCCACCCAAATTTTCTGGAGACCCAAGTAGACTGGTCCCCCCAATTGACTGCTAGGACAGTCAGCCCTGGTCAAGCTAGCAGGAAGTCAGATGTCTCTGCTGTTCCCACGGGGTATTGGGGGGGGGGCGTTGCCCTTGGTCATTCTATTTTAGTAAGGAAAGTCTTTGAAATAACTCAATGGATAACAGGTTGTCTAGTAATTTTTGAAAATGGAAAAGGGTTCTGAGAGCAAAACCTTTAAGAAATACTGGTACAAACTATTCTGTTTAATTCTCATTGCAGCTAAAGCCTTCTCCCCATCCCAGCCATCTGGGAGCCCTTCATAGGTGTTGAGACTTAATCCCAGAATTCCCAGCCAAGCTTTTGGCTGTGCTGAATAAGAATCCTGGATGTTCTTGGTAAAAGGAGAAGGTTGATTTATCAAGATAGAGACAAGCCAAAACATAAAGGTTCTATTCTTTTCCTGCGGGGGAATTTTTTTTTTTTCCTTCCCCCCCCCCCCCCCCAATCCCCTAAATTTCTGGATATCACTGACAAAAAATTGGCCATTCTCATAAAAAAAATGCCAGCTCTTCATTGTTCTAATTTTTGGATTTTTTCCCTTCTTTCCTTCAGTCGTGACTGCCCCATCTTTTACATGCGGAAAAAGGTTCAGAAGGATCTTGATGATCAAGAATTGCTGATTTCCCGCTTTGGCCCCCCTACTTGGTGATTGCTCATTCTCATCTGACGGGAATCATATATATCTGTTTACATCTAGAATTAAGGCGCAGCCACATTTAAGAAACTGTCAGGGGAAAATTACTGGCATTGGCACTATTCTGCATTATAAACCCCATTATCAGAATTTGGGAGGACACAAACTGCATATTGCAGAAGAAATATAGCTTGGCTCCAAAAAGCTCCTTGTAGAGTTGTATGTTTGTAATAAATTTCTACTAATAAAAATTAGCTCTTTTTCCTGCACGTTATTGGAAGTCACATAGATTTGAATTTTGTGGAAGAATTATTACATAGTTCCAGATGGCTATATGGGTCATTAGACTCAGGAATCCTGTATTTAAGATAGTTTACTGGGCAGCTAAAGCAAACAGTTCAAACATTTAATTGTCAGTTTCATAAACCCAATAATAATCTTTTGAACACTTAATACTGCCTTATTATTTGGGCTTTTTCTTTTGTGCTCCAGAAAATTGACACCAGTCTTCATTCAGCACCATGAAGTTGTGTAAAAAAGTGTCTGATCATATTTATGAGTGCATGTGCATTATCGTACAGAACAGGAATACACCATACATATTTTATAAGAAAATCTGCATTACCTTTAGAATAGAGTATACCCAGGTTATACTGGTACAGTTAAAAACAACTGAGCAAACTGGGCATTAAAGTTAATGCAGAAGAAAAAATTTTTGTTGAGCACCAATCACGAGAGCTCACTGTAATTTTGAAGAAAAAAGGAAATACAGCACAAGTTAAAGAACAGCTCCTATGCTTTTCTAGCATGCTACTCCAAATGAATAAACCATTTTATGGCTTAATATGATGGCCTATTCACACAACCTATTAAATCAATCATTGGGATCTGCCAACCTATTGAAATCAAATTACCCAATTCCGTTTGTCATCCATTTAATGCAAAATGAGTCTGTAGTAGAATAATGGTTAGCAGATAAAAATTTCTTTTTAATTTTTTTCAGTTTGATATTGTTGAATCATTTAGTTACCTGACTCAAATTTTGAAATATAATTTTCTTTCAGATGAATTTCTGTTTCTGGGATAAGGTGTAATTAGAAAAACGTTTTTTTAAACAATCTGAATTGATTTTCTAGATTACATTTTTAGTCAATATAGATGCTATATTCTGTGATGCCTGATTATCCCTTTAACTCCATTTGTTGACTTTGTCATGCTCTGTAATCCCAGTAACTCATTATCTACCACCAATTCATGTATTCACAGTACAAGATAAAGAAAATCATAAATTACTTCTGATCACCGATCATTTAATACCTCTTACCCAGCTGGAATCCCTGACCAGATAGGTGTCAACAAACAGATCAAAATAATGCAACTATAATCAGTTAAATAGTTATAAAAGAATGTTAGATGGATATGGGTTCAAATTCCATCTCAGTAATTGTTTTGAGGCAGATCATGGTCTGGTGAGAAATTTTGTGAACCATGTACATTTGAATAAATGAAATAAATACAAAAACTGATACTCAGATTGTTCCTCCAAAATAATATTAAAATATTTTTCAAAAAGCTTAGTAGATATAGCTAAGAAGATAACATTTTCAGGCACAATTGTTTTAAGTATTGCTTGATTGATTGGTTTTATTTAATTACTAAACACACAATGTGATTTTGGGCAACATACCATACAGCAATGATTAAAATCATTTAACCAATCATAAAATACTAAAACAAGTACAAAAATAAAACAAGATAATGGGGGAATAATAAATCACTTAACAACATACAAGAACATTGAGTATGGATTGGATAACAATGCCAAAGAGAAGGCAATTCAGAATAAGATGTATTTCTAAGGTCCTAAAGATGGACTGAAAATTTGTAGAGGTTTTGGAAGCAAATGGTGCAGATAGTTTTTAGTTATACTTTGTCCCAGTATTTTGCAATTATTATATCTCTCTAGTAGTGATTTCTAACTGGTTTCAGTATTGTGTAGGATTAAAATCAATGCTATGGTCATTCAACAATAGTGTAGCTGGTGTATGCAAATCCATAGGTGTGCTAACTAAATCCGGATTTCTCAACAGTCATATCTGAGCATTCAGGTTTAGGGCTGTTCTTCATGTACAACATGATTTTATAAAGCTGCAACTGTATACCAAACATGGGTTTGTTTAGCAAAACCATTTGTCAATGAGGATCACATCTTACATTAATAACATGAGGTCCATCAATATGTTCTCAGCTTGGCTTATTAGCAGCATTTCATTGAAGGCAGCCATTTTTTCTCTGGGTGCTTCACTGTGGCACCCAGTTGTTGGGTTCATCTACCCAAGACAAAGATAAAACTGGGACAAGCAATTCCATGGTTTTGGAAATTCTGGGAAAGCTCATCAGTGCTATTGTATGTTAGATGGACAAGCCATCAAGTTAAACAACAACAAGGTTTATTTAGACACTGCATGCTATGCAGCCAGCATCTCTATTTTGTTTACTGAAGCTAGAGTTCAAGGTATGTAGTGTAACCTTAATGTATAAATGGGATTGTCCACTGCATTTATGGTTGCTTCCAGTCCTATAATAGTATGTTGAAAAACGCTTCCTTTCGTCTCAGAAAAGGGTTCCCATACAAGAGAATCGGGATGAGATGATCAGGCATCTATCAAACAGCATCTCAATAATGTCTGGATTTCATTTTTGTTTAATTTCATCCAGGCCTTCACTGGCTCAAAACATCAGTGCTGAGACTTTCCAAAATAATCAGAAAAGAGCACCCACTTCCATAAGCCACATTTGTGTAGGGCCATGTCACTAGGTTCCTAGGCAAATATCTAGGGCAGCCACCTTCAGGCAAAGTGTGTGCTTTCTGGCTAAGGTATAGCATCTTCTGATGTTGGCTGGTCTCACTCATGTTGTTGAACATCCCCAAATTTACTGAATTATTTTTCATACTTTATATGAACTTCCTCTGCATTTACACAAGAAGGGCATCTAAGAAGGTGGTAATGTCACATGATTCTTGTGAAATTGGGTAAAACCAGGATCTCACGGCCCAGATGAGGTCTCTTTGCAAGCAGCAACTGATGGAGCCAATGGTCCCAGCATGAGTTACATTCCCGCCCCACAATCTTATTTCAACAGGCTTTTCAAGTCACAATATCCTCAATTTATTATCTTTCCTTTAAAATATAACCTATACTTTTCTATAACATCCCATTGCTTCTTGCCAAATAATAAAACAAATTCCCCTTTATTCCTGGAATTGTTGGGGTTATGATTTAAGAGACAGTAAAATGTGAACCAATGCAATCAGACCATGTAGAAGAAGTTAAAACACACATTAATTATTACAGGAGGAGGAAAGAAATTACTGGCCACCAGTATGGCTCAATCTACTAAATCCAGGGTTTTAAATTGCCGCATGGGGTTTTGCATTGTTAGAAAATGTACAGTAATTACTCTAGATAAGATGCAGTGTTAGCTACACTCTACTGCCATGTGCCTAACTTTCTCCTAAACTGGAAGTTGCAGATGGCAGTTTTAGGTCCTTGGGTGTAAGGAGAGGGAGGAGGGAATGCAAGAGAACAAATGATGGGGGGTGGGGGGGTGGATGGCTCTCTTTCTTTCCTCTGTTGAGTAAGAGAGCCCTCCCCCAATCCGGATGGCAGAGGCAGGGCAGTCCAGATAGCAGAGAAAGGTGTCTAAAGAGATAAAAAGCCTTTCTGATTCTTTCACAAGTTATGATTGGTTGTCCACGTGAGCTCCCCTCTTGAGGCTGATATGTGGGAAGGCATGAGTCCCTGTAACAATCTTGATGTACTAATCTCTGGATGCAGTGGTCCCTCAGCTCTTGCTGAGAAACTGGGGGTGGCAGGGGGTGGGGAGAGAGATGGAACATCTTAAAGAATAAGATTTTGGTGGTTATGTAAACACCCAGCCAACCACAGCTGATCTTAAAAATGCCAAGGAATATGATTAGCCCCTGGGAAATCAGAAAACGGTAAACTAGGTGGAAAGTTTTGGAAGAAAGCAATGTCTAACCACTTGTTTCAATGAAGACGACATGGCCAAACCTATGGAAGTTACTGGAAATCAAGCTCTTCTCAGTGATCTTCCTTAAGAACTAGAAGCTTGCTAAAGTAAATGATTTCTTGTCTAGTTATTTTCTTATTAAATTTATATGCCTCCCATTTCATTGTTACAGAGTAAGTGGCTTACAGAATTTAAAAAAAGTAAAATATATAATACATGTTGTGATATCAGACTGCTTGCTTTTCAGTGTTAAGCATATGGGAACTCAAACTTTTCCTCTTCCAAAACTGGTATCGTGACACGGGGGAGATATGTCAAGTGTGTTTAATACGCCTCATTTTTCTCCAATGCAGTTTGGTTACATGCAAAGCTTTCGTGTAGGCTTTGTTTATTCAGCAACTTTTTTTTATTAACACCTTATCTGTAAAACAAACATAATTGATGCTAATTTTCAATTTTACTTTTTTGCCAGACAAAGCTAATATTTTTAGCTGCTGAATAATAATAACGTGGTAAAAGGGGAGCAAATAAATTCCAATTAAAATAAAAAAGAAAATGCAGATTGCAAGAAAAACTTAAATGTTGTTGTTTACATAGTTTACCAACTAATACTGATTGGATTTGATAGTTTTGGCTATTGAGTCATTCCCAAGGATCTAAGATAGTTAAAGATATCATTGTAATACTGTATATGAACTGTTCCAAATAATGGCATTTTTTTGTACTTGATAAGATTATTGATAAGATTATTGGGCCCAAGTGCTATTCCAAATCATTTAGTACCGAACTGTGTACCAATCTCTATGAGCACTACTATGACATTTTCCCACAATTTCTTGATTTTTATTGAAGGTTTTATTACTGCCTTATTTTTTTCTAGGTCTTTCTTAATGTTTTTTTCATTTGCAGCTATTGCAATGTCTATTATCTATACTTGTTTTTTTGTTAACCATAGTCATGGTCTGGCTTATTATGGGCTAAATGGTTATTAATTATATTATTATTATTAGGGTATTCCAGGAGTGTATTTAAAAAAAGTAAAACTTTTTGTTTAATCAAATGGTTATCAATCAGTAAAAAATAAATTTTACTCTAACAGTAATTGTAACATTCCCTTAAGAGATAGCCTAGTATAGAGCAATTGTTGCCTGTAAGAATCTATTCAATTGTTTTAAAATACTTGTTTTTTAAGTGGGGGCAGCTGTGGGAGATAATAAAAATCTCAAGCAGGGAAGATCTAATCAGCTCATGAAAACAGAAGACAAAGGAATTTGTGAAGATAGTACAATAACACAGGGTCATCCCAAAGAAACAGTTTCTGGTCACTATTGTTCTCAATTCTAAACTGAAATTATGAAAGACCAAGCCCTCTCAGGGCCTTTGTGAAATGGAAAAAAAATTGAAATGTACCATGTAATTGCAATAATTATTAATACCAGTCTTTGCTTCAAAGGAGCAAGAGTGTTTTCTATAAGCTATCCTTCCCTTTCACTGTATTTGAAAAGATGCAAAAAGGAACTTGATGGATGAAACTATGTGATGTTTGGATCACTGTCAGCCCAGCATTAATTTCTCGCACAAATCTTGCTGCTTCTCTGTCTTTCAGACTAAGTATTTTATAGGGCTGAGTGAATATTGTGCATTGCTTTGATAATCTTAGAACAGAACTTTGGCAACTTTAAGTTGTGTGGATTTCAACTTCCAGAATTCACCAACCAGCTGTAAATATGGCTGGCTGGAGAATTCTGGGAGTTGAAATGTGATGCAGGCGAAGTTGAATTCCTCTAGTCTTGTATTACTTTTGGTAACTGCTAGAAACAGAACATTTTTGACAGGAAAGAGACTTACCTGAAAAATTCCTGCTCTGATCAGAAGTTAGATTTTGTTCAGAAACAACAATACAAGAGCAAGAATCATGGCAGCAGTCCAAGCTTCAACAAAATGGGCCAGCTCTGGGCAGAAATGGACAAAAAGCAGCACCTGTTTCTTCCTTTTTATATTCGAAGTCCTCAGTGCTCAAATCAGCAAAGCTTATATTTTGGATGTGAATATTGTATCTTTGATGAGTTCTGTATATTGGGTAGTAGTTAATCTGCTGAACTAAAATTAGTAGGCTGTTGAGTTGAATTCTAGCCTCCCCTAAATCCTTAAATCATGACTGAATGATTTGGGGCCAGTCACTCTCTTTCAGCTCAACACACCTCACAAGCTTTTTGTTATGGGCAAATTAGAGGGTGGGAGCATTTACACAGTGCCTTATATAAAATAAAGCTGGTATATAAAACTAAAAATAAATAAATAAATAAATAAATAAATAAATAAATAAATAAATAAATAAATGTTGGAGGGCAATGTGGCAATTATACTTTTCCAATGGTCTAATTCAATCCTTCACCTCCCAAAACTGACAATTCGAGTTCTATATAATGAAATAAACTATGAATCCACTAATGCTATAATTCTGGTACTAAAAGTTGTTTAATTTTTACAGTGCCAGAGGATACCTCTCTTTTTTTGGCCTTTCTTTATAAGGACAATTAATCAAATTTGGCTTTCGAAATATCAACCCCCCCCCCCCGAATCTCTTCATAACTTGGTGCCCTACAATACAATTATTTTCAATCCCCATTAACGTAGCAGGTGAGGGTCTCTGTAGTCCAAAGTAGCAGAAATTGGAAGGAAAAAAAAAAACTATAGAGGAAAAAACAGAATTTCTGAATTGGAGGGTGTGTGTGAATGTACTATTTGTAGTCTCATTTCTCCTAACCTTTATCTATTTCTGTGTATTTCCCCCCCCCCCCCAAACATTTACAGTGATTACAAAAGTTTAGCTGGTCTAATAAAAGTATTTTGAATTATCTAGCATGGCTAGAACGGGAAGACCTGCACCGCCTCAGGCATCTCCGTCCCCGGACCTGTGTACATTAATTGAGGTGGTGTGAGATCCACTATACAATTCCAACCTCCCCCCCCCCCCCCACACACACAACACTCCCGCTGTAGGAGTTCATTGCGCAAGGAGCGCCGTAGGGCAGCCCCACCTATCTGGGGGAATTTTATCTGAGGTCACTCCCCTCTCGATTCGCGAATAGCAAGGCTATATAAATGGCCCCCTGCCGGCGAAAGTGCTGGCGGCACCACTGGAGAAGGCTAGTAGCTGGCACTGAAAAAGCCTCGGCGGGCTAGCGGACTGGCACTCGCTTCCCGTCGTCCCCTCCAGGATGCTAGATTTGGATTACGCGCAGTGAGTGTGAGGGGAACTGGGTCGGGTGCGAGCGGAGGGATAGAGGGCAGAAGCGGACCCTGGTGGGAGCTGCGGATTTGATGTGTTAGTTGCTTAAAGAAGCGTAGCATAGTGGCATTTCAACCTGGGCAGAGCGGATCCTCGTGTCTCGGGTTCGCGGATAAGAATGGTCAGTGGCGCTTTCCTGAATCGCGCATCTTGCTTACTGGCCAGAGAAGCAGGCAGTTTTCCGGTTGACTGGCGCCTGTCAGCCCTTTTAGATAGAAATCTAATAAACTCAAACTCAAACTCTTTTCGGTGGACCTGCGCCGAGGTGCTAGAAATGGGCGTCTGTGGAACTCGGAGAGCTCTGCTCCGCAACGCTTGCAAAACAGACCCACCGCCTGGGAAAGGCAGATGCCCATCGGCAGAGGTAGCCAACTTGTGGTTCATAAACCACATTAATTCCCAACATCCCTTTTTGGGACCCCCAAAACCCCATTTGGATCAGTGTCCCTGGAAAGAACGTTATACAGATTTAAATTAAAATATGAGACCCTAAAAGAAGCCTATTGTACAGTTAATAACTGTACAGTTCATTCTTTTTAGACATTCTAGTGGGCAAACTTTATGTGGATGAGGGTCACCCTTTATATTTGGAGAGACTAAGGGTTATAAGATGAGTGCAGCTTAATTTCTCACCAAAGCCAGCTGCACCCACCTTATAGCCCTTACTCTCCCCAAATATAAAGGGTGACCCTCAGCCACATAAAGTTTGCCCACTAGAATGTCTAAAAAGAATGGAACAAAAAGTTGAGGGCCAAAACTGGAAATTAGCAGGCTGTTTTCTTGCTAGAAAATAAAATGTATGCATGCATGCATGTTAAAACTGAGAAAACAACATGTTCTTAATATCTCATAAAACAATGTCAAAAGTCATAAATGAAATTAAAGAGCTAGTTAAAATCCAATTGCTGACAGTGTTGGCATAAAGGAGGCAGACCTGATTTAAATTCTATTACACTCAATCCCATTTTTACTTAAAACATTATCTAAGCACTGTCCATGGTTTTCATTCCCTTCTCACAACAACCCTGTGAAGAAGGACAGGCTGAGAATCAATGATTTGTCCATAGATTACTTGTTCAGCCCTTTGGTTGACCTAGGATTTGAATTTAGGCAGATCCTTCTTGATCTCAGCTCTAGGGAAAATAAAAAGAATTAAACATGATTGTAATTGTTTAGTACTTAGATGGGAAACTGCCTGCAGACTTAAGAGTTATAGGCTACACTGGAATGTAAAAAATTTCCCACAAGAAATCCCAGGGAAATCGCACTCAAATCGATATCTTCATAGGAGTAGCTTTCATTTTGAGATATTTCTCATTCCTTCATTTCTTTAAGCTTAATGCAATTTAGTGTTTCATCCCATCTCTCTTCAGTGTATGCCAAATACAGTAAGTGGACTTCATTTTGGACTCTGCCTTTTTATACCTGTCTTATTTGTATAGGAATATCTTGGCTGCTATTTCTCCCATTGCAGCCTTTTAGAAAATTTACTTATGCAATTGTTTTGCAAAAAATGTGTAACAGTTTTAAGTATAAAGATAACTTCATGCTTTGCCAGCTATTTTCCAAATTAGCAGCCTTGCTGCTATCTTTACTCTGTCACCTCCTGTACCTGATCAGATGTTCTGTATTCTAGGTTTCTGTCCACCCCATCCCTTTCTCCCTCTCACTTTTCTTCCTTTCCTGTTGTCTGTTATGCAAATATTGAGGCTAGCGAAGGTTGGGAAGATTTGAATATTTCCCCAGCACAAGAGTGTGACAATGAGACAATGCACAGTTCTCTTGCTTGGTAATTCTCAAAAAATGCTGAGTTTTGCCCATTTCTACCCAGAGCTGGCCCATTTTGTTGAAGCTTGGGCTGATTCTTTCAATATTAATATTAATTATAGTGTTTTGTTGCCCAGAACCATGTGTGATTTTAGCCTATTTGAAGCCATCCTGGAGAAATCTGATTTTGCAGTGTACAATACATTAAAATAATAATAATAATAATAATAATAATAATAATAATAATAATAATAATAATAATAATAATAAAAATTGCTTCAGCTAATGAAGTTGATCTATCACCCACCCACCCCCTTCATGGCAGTATAATCACAGCCAGGGTAAATGAAGGAATTAATAACTGTCCTTTCTCAACTTCCCAAATTGGATGTCTGAGATAGCTGACCAGCTCTAGTTAATGGTGAGATGGCTTCTGCCACTACCCTCCCTACAGTAAGTGTGCAATGTAGAGCAAAGATTGTTATATTGCACAACTCTGGGAAGCCCCCCCCCCCACATTCCTTATGAAGCCTTCCCCAACTAGATGCCCTGTGCTGAAAGTTAAAAGTAACTGAACATGGTTGGGTTGCTGGAGTAAAACATCTGAAGGAGCAACTTAGGGGAAACTTATTTTTTCTTTCTCCTACATCTCTCCTTTATGAAAAAAGCTGCTTCCTGTTTGAAGGTACTAGATGATTTATGTTCAGCCTTAGGACTCACACTTTCTCTTTTCTTTTTCTATATCATGGGCAAAGCCATGAATGGGTCATGCTACTTTGGTAGGAGCTACCACCATCCTTCCCCTCCTCCCCTCTCTTTCAGGCATTTTAACTTCAACTTCCATAATTTCTAGGTAGCATGGGGGTTGTAGTAGAATGTGACAATGCTTTGCTATGCCAATGTATTTATCATATTGTATTTCTATCATCAGTACAATGCAGAAATGGCTACACTCTTCCTTTTGTGTACTTGTTATAACTCCTAATGAATTATTACTCACCAAGATTCAAACAAGGCATCTTATCCCTGGGATAGGGAACAGTATCTCCAGATTCATCCCGTGAGGCTGTGTGGATGTGGACCACATCCAAAATGCATCCTAAGCTCTGGAAGGGTTATCAGCCTTCCCCTCTCTCAGGCCTCCCAGATGTGTTTGTCAGGAAAGCAATGAAGAGCTCATTATGGAAATCATTAGAATCTTTTATATTTCATTTTATTTGTTAAATTTGTTTGCTGCCCATCTCGCCATGGGGCTATTTTAGATGGCTTGCAACAATCCCAGCATCTAAACTACAGCATCCCCATACTAATTGGGAATTATGAAACCTGAAGTTAAATAAATCTGAGGGACCCTTAATTTTAAGAAAATTGATTCAAAGAATAGGTTACATGGCTAAAGGTGGAGTTAAACGGTAATTAATTTCAGTTGGTAAGGACACTCAGTCTAGTGATTAGAGTATATTTATGAAGTTGGGATAGAAGAGGTTATATTGTTTCCAATGAATTAAAGTAATAGAGAAGTGGGAGAAGAAATAGATTCTCCCTGAACAATTGCTTTCTAATTTTACTCTGAATGAAAATTCTCTAGGATTATACCGTATTGAGTTAAGTTTTCTTCCCACTGGAGGACATATATGTGTATATATATACCTTGCTTTCATTACCTGACTAGGTAACATCATCAGTGCTAGTGAATATGGCATTTGCTTCCTGGTTATATAAAGTAATTTGTCCTGCCAGTAATTCTTTGATGTTGGTATTATTTTCTACTTAATTTTTATTTGTTAATCCTTCCTTATTTGGATATTGGTTGCTCGAGAGGATCTGTGCTAAACTCCTGCCCCTTCTTAGCTTTTTTTTTTTTTACAGTATTGCCTATTTTGAAGTGTGTAAATATGGTTTATTTCTATGTGTCTCTCTCTATAGAATTATATCATTTAGGTTTTGCTCCCCTTGATTAACCCCAGACTAATAATCAAGCAGAAAATAATACCCTAGTCAAAGAACAACCAAGGAGAAACCCACCACACTGGCAAGGCAAGCTATTGTCAGGGAACAGACCCCACACTCACTTGCACTGATGATATTACCTAGTCGGGTAATGAAACATCTGCAAGCAAATAACCAAACTCAAAGAGTGCCCAGAACGCCACAGTTCATCTCTTAGCTACATCTGTTCTCTTTTATTAGGACATGCATATCTTGCATTTTTTTTTCACTTGAATGAAATGTCACTATAGGAATATATAAAAGACATAACTTTTTCTTCATCAGGGAGCCTTATCAGACATTACTCCTTGCTATGGTGAAATAATGTCTGGCTAGCATAGTATTGCCGTGACTTTCCTCACCGTCTACTGTAGTTTGTGTTTGATGTTTGTGCTCCAGGTTTTCTCTTGACCATCATGTAGGCAACAGGTGAAAACCAAAGACAGCCCTGTTGGTTTTACTCACCAGGATGTTGTGGCAACAATGAGAGGCAGCCAGGGTTGAGTGTTTGGTGGTATACAAAACAGTGGAAAGAGGCTGCATAAATCACGATCCCCATTCTGGCGACACTATAAATTACTAAGGAAAGGCTCCTAGGCTAATTATAGGACTGTCATACAGTATGTATGTCTATTCAGTTGTAATCCCAGATCAAGTGTATAAGATTGCAGTTTCAAAATTAATCCCCTGCAGCTGAAATAGTGATAATGAAAGTTGTTAGATAGATTTATAAAATATTCTTCTAGTCAAATAAATCTTAACTGATTAATTTCCACTTTTAGTTGATTGAACGAACTTGCTTCTGAATAAGCATGGCTATGTGTAGATTTGTGTGATCTGTGGAGGAAAACCTTATGTTATCTACCCAAACAACAGCTAACAATAACATACAGCAGGAAGTTCCTGTCATTCTGTGCCTAACTTTACAGTGCTGGCTTTTTTAATGTTCAATGTTCTTGGTAATATCATGGGAACATACGTTGAGACAAAAGTGCTTAATACAGCAGCCTGTATACCTGATTACCAATTTTCTTTCTCTCTTGACAGGCCTGATGGATCCCAATATGGCTATGTGGTAAGCATGTGATTTCAAATTCTTGAATTCTGAACAGAGTTGGGAAATGTGAGACCCCTGACCTAATTTTAGGAGGTTCAAACCTCTGGTCAGGCAGGATTTGTTGTATTTTTTCTTATAACCTATTGGAAGGGGAGAAAGAGGAGGGAGGGAAGGGGGAGGGAGGCAGAAACAAAGGAGGTTGTCAGAGACCAAAAATAAAATGGTATTTTCACTTGTCAGGGAGAGTGGGAATGGTAGGTACAAGAAGAAAAAGAGACAGATTAGAGTCACATATCATACTAAAACCATGGTTGCTTAAACATGCTTTCTCAACCCAGAGTTGTGGGTGGGAAACTTTCCATGAGATGAACAAGAGTGTTTACAAGGGAGAAGATTTTTTTAAAAAGCCAAAATGACAACCAACCGCATTGCAACTATCATCTTGAATTCTCTCTCTCTCTCTCTCTCTCTCTCTCTCTCTCTCTCTCTCTCACACACACACACACACACACACACACACACACACACACACACACCAATGGCCAAAGAATAGCCTGAAGGAATTGGCTTGTGAGAAGAGGCCTCAATAAAAGCCACAGTTATATCAACTGAGGACATGTCTGTTATGATGTTATCACACAACGGCATTCTGTCCACTGACATTATGGCAACTGATACAAATATATGTCATATGGTTTATGTGATGACATCATCATGCACATTTTTTACCCCTCCACAGATACGTAATGTTGGTAGAAGTCATGACTGCAGAGTTCATGGTGGGAAAATGTCAATCTTGAAAGGATTGAATGGATTGACAAGGCAAGGTCTCTTGCCTTCCTAATGCATCTTGGGAAACATTTCAGGAGTTTATATTATACTGACAACCACACTATATTTCTCAGTTCCCCAGCGGATTTATCAGTGATTTGGACTCTTACAAGCAAGAACCCACATTTCCTCCCTGTCTTGGAGATCCAGAGAGCTCCCCAGGTAAGATCTGTTTTAGTGGTTCAGTATTTTACAGTGTAATGCAGAATTGTAAAGAAAACCAATCAGTTAAAAGGCCTTGATAGTGGAGAAAACTCATCATTTAAAAAACAAAACAAAACAAAACAAAAGTTTGAAATAAGCTGCCATATCAATCAATCATAAGCATCTCAATTATCCTTACAAATAAATATGGTTTATCACTCTCTGACTTGCTGATTTATATAGGACACTTTTGCCCAGCTTTGAAGAGCTCCAAGAAGCAACTCTTATCACTCACTTTTCTGTTTCACAGCTGCTGATCTCTCTTCTCCCCTCTTCCTCCCCTCTGCTCTGCTCTGCCCTCTTACGCAATTTAGATTTAGTCATGTAACTAACTGCCACCTGACTTCTGGGACATTTCTGCATAGTTAACATTCATGGGAATCTGCCAGAATATATGCAATCTCATATTTGGGGGTTTTCTAATCTCAGGAAGGTGGAAAGTGCCTAGGCATTGTGACAGATCAGTCTTATGGTAGCCTCTTGTCATAAATAGTACTCAGGGCCTGAACTACTTGCTAAATAGTGGGCCTGTAAATTTGCCATTTGTTCTCTGAGAGCTGTACTCTCTTAGAGTCCTCCGCTTTCATCCCCACAACAATACCCCTGTGAAGTAGAGTGAACTGAAAGGGAATGGTTGATTCACATTTCAGCAGTGAGCTCTCCAGTCAAGTGGGTATTTGCCTGGTCTCTCTGTTCAAATTCAACACTTTAACCATTGCTTGGCATTACCAGTTTGGTGTAGTGGTGAAGAGGCTGGCCTAGGAACTGGGAGACTGAGTTCTAGGTCTCCCTTAGGCATGAAGGCCAGCCGGATGGGTGACATTGAGCCAGGGAGGTGGTTGTGGGAACACAGGAAGCAGGAGTACTTTGTATAACCTCTGTATACCAAATCTAACAATCTAATAGTAATGTAACTATTATTACTCCTCAATAACAACATAACTATTGTTAATCTCAGGCCAAAGGAGCACTTAGATGATCTTATTTGCGTTGTGAACTGAGCAAGTGAATGGCCATTTCTGTATTGTTGCTGAAAAAAACAGCATGATCACATTCCACATTGACACCAGGACTCAGTGTCAACTGAAAACAGCCTTTACTTACCTTGATTGAGCCTACTGTGGTCCACTGAGTGGCTGAACAAATGACTGTTTTGCTGTGTTCACCCAGCAGGCATAACCTTGTGGAAGCTACGATAGACAATCTTTCAGGACCAAGGCAGGAAGCTGCCTTCAGTTTAACATAAAAGTCCAAAGTAATTTGGTCTTCCCATTTTACTGAAAGGCTACTTTCTATCCTCATTTGCTGAAGTCTTTGCAATTGTTGGAAGGGCTCTTCACATTTTTCTTGGAAGGGAAAATGACTCTTCTTTCTTCAGTGGGTAATACATGTATTTCCTTGCTGGCAAATGTGAATGGAAATGTGGATGTTCATTCTGTGAACATGCATGTAGTAGGTCTATATGCTAACAAATAACATTCCTGATGAGCGACATCTTCTTTACTGTTTCTACTTTGGTCTTCTTTTAGCAGGTTTATCAAAACAACACTTCTTATACGTAGCTTGAAAAATGTAAGTGCATGGGGTTATTTTAAGCATGCACCATATTTTTCATTGGAACTTATAATCAATAACAAACAACGCAAGAATTATATTAGTAGGAAGTCAAAGGGAAACCAAGTATCGCAATTTGTCTGATAGAAGAGATTCAAAGTCACAAGTAGAATTTGCAACAAAATATTTTACTGAAAAATATTCTTGTTTGACGTCCTACCTAATCAGCCAGCAAGCCTCTTTTGAAATGCTTTATAAGCATTTTCCCCTATTACAACTACTATTCCATGTACTGTATACTGTGCCCACTGAAGATGTTCAGTCCTTATCAGTTGAAGGAGGGAATTACCCCTTTAGTGTATGTGTGTATATGTGTATATGCATATATATGTATATATGTATTTGTGTGTGTGTGTGTGTGTGTGCGCGCTTGCGCGCGCTTGTACACACACACATATATGTTTCTGTGCCCCTTGCACAGGGCACAGGGCAATATTTAAAGATAGTTCTTGTTTGAAAATAGATGCTGCAAGTTAGTCTGATTAGAGATTCATACTTTGAAAACGGATTTTGCTATGATATAGGAGTTAAGCATGTTCCTCATTCTGCTGAATGAAACAGATTTTTAAAAACCCACCTTCTGAGCTGTTCAGTGAGCCCATTACTGCCTTATCAGATTTTGCTCCTAGGCGGGGAGAAGCAAGACTGCAAATATGCATTAGGGTTCAGCTTGCTATTCCTAGGCAAATTCATGGTGGCAGATATTTGCACAGACCCTACTTTACAGCTGCCCAGCACACAGTGAGCTCTTTGTAATCAGCTCTGAGCATTATCCACCCCTTGTACCTGAGCGAACCAAGTGGGCGTTGGAGTCATTCTTCTAGGGTAGGGGAAAAAGAAGCATTGTGTAGGCCTCCTCCCCATAGGAAACCTCACCTGTCAAGGGCAGAATCAGATTTCTAAGCAAGTAGTGAACATGAGTGCAAAAGATACACAGGGTGTCCCTTATCTCTCCCCACAAGAATCCCCACCAACCTTATAAGCAAAAGAAAAGAGGGCATCATATGAAACAATCTTAAAGGGAAGCCCTCAGATAATAATCCTCAACCTACGACCATTCTTTTAGTTTGAAGTTACAACTGCACTGAGAAAGTGACTTGTGTCTATTTTTCACATTTACAACTGTTACTGCATCCCCATGATCACATGATCAAAATTAGGATGCTTGGCAACTGGTTCATATTTATGACAGTTGTGGTGTCCCAGGGTCATGTGATCTCTTTTTGACAAGGAAAGCCAATTTGACAAGGAAGCCAGTTTCATTTCACAACCGTGTTACTAACTTAACAACTGCACTGATTCATTTAACAACTGTGGCAACAAAACTCACTTAATATCTATCTTGCTTAGCAACATAAATTTTGGGCTCTATTGTGGTTGTAACTCAAGGACTGTCTGTAACTGATCTGTGATTTTATTTTATTTACTTGATTTCTGATACTATCAAGAAGCTAGAAGCTTGCAATTGAAAGCTGCTATTAATTCAAGGTTTATCCCCATTTTGCTCCAGGAATTCAGGGCAATATATACAGAGCTATTGATTTCCATTTCCTCCCTAAAACTTCTAGAATGGTCAGAGACAACAACTGGTTTCATATCATTTAGTAGGTTCTCAAGTGGAGAGTAGATTTGGCCTTCAATATCCTAATCCACCACCTAATTCTTAGAACTCGCTGTCTTTCTTTTTCTCTTTTGCCTGTTTTCAGAGCATTTGCATAGAACTGTAGCTGATGATGACCACACTGGCTATTGCAGAGAGTCCTTGACTTATGATTATTTGTTTAACCAATGGTTCACAGTTACAATAGGGACAGAAAAAGTGACTTACAACCCATCTTCAATGTTACATGTACCATCATCCCACCCACCCCCAGAACCACAGGATTGCAATTCTGGTAGTTGGCAACCGGTTCGCATTTGCAATGGGTACAGTGTCTTCCCATCATGTGATTGTAAGTTGCGAACCTTCCTAACCGTGATAAGCAAAGTCAATTTGGGAATTTGAATTTGCTTAACAACTGTGTTAATTGCTTGATTCTCCTAATGACCACAGTAAAAATGGTCATAAAATCAGATCTGGTTACATGATGATGCATTTAGTGACTACATTGCTTAATAACTGAAATTCCAATGCCAATTGTGGTTGTAAGTCGAATATTACCATTAAATACAAAACAAGAGCAGGTGAAAGAGCAGATGAGGCTCTATTGATTTCCAGTAGATGTGCAGGATTGTTTGTTTGCTTATTGCTTTATTTTAAGCATTTTTGTGTCTGCCCAGTTCAAACCAGGTGACATAGGGCAGCATACCAAAACCAATAGAAAAAAAAAACAAAGACAAACATATATAACCAAAAACAAATAAATGATTAAATGGTGAACAGAAGCTAAAATTTGTTATATCCCACCAAATGGGAACTCTGCTCAACCTGAACTAAGTGTCCACTTCTAAAGGTGTGAAAAGCTGGATTCAGTGATTATTCCAGTATATGGTGGAAAGAAAGTGGTAATAGCCACTCCTTTTCATTATACTTCATCTTCCTTTCTGGCTGGTAGATCTTGCTTGCAATGCATTGTCAAAGGAAACACCTACTAACCTGAAATTTGTGCTAATGACTTTGGATTACTTTTTAGTAGGATGCTCTTGAACAGTGAGCTTCTCTAGGTCTCTTGGATCCTTCTTTTTGACCAAGGATCTTGCCTTACAGAGTCTTGTATAAACTGGCTAGAGATGCAAGAACCTGGATATGAACCCTTCGAGATAGGACACCTGGCTCAGCTGCAGAATGTTCAAGTCTCCTACCCACCTGGCACTTACGCCCAGGCACAACTCTCTCTGGAACCAATCTACAACCATGAGGGAATGATGCCTGCCCAGAATTCAGCTATGGTATTCAAGGACGAATACAACACTGAGGTAATGGGCAGAACCTTGGGTTCTAGGAAGGGAGAAGGAACTTGGGTCCCTTAGATCTTCCTGGGAAGACCATGACTCTTTCCTATAGGATTATTTCCAGGCATATGGATTTCCTAGCCAGCATGGCTTTTGCTAATGGCTTATGACCACAGTAGGACCAGAATTTCAATTGCTAAGTAAGGCAGTTGATAAATAAGTCACACTTTATTTACAACTTTTTTTGCTACAGTTGTCAAGTGAATCACTGTAGTTGTTCAGTTAATGGTGCTGTCATTTAGTGAATCCAGCTTCCCCCATTGACTTTGCTTGACAGAAGCTGGCTGGGAAAGTTGAGATCACCTAATTCCAGGATGCTGCAACTGTCATAAGTACATGCCAGTTGCCAAGTGCCTGAATTTTGATCACTTGATCATGGAGAAGCTACAATGGTCATAAGTGTGAGAGCTGGTCATAAGTCATTTTTTCAGTGCCATTGTAACTTTGAAGGCCTCTAAACAAATAGTTGTAAATTGAGAACTATCTGTACTGGTTGGTTAAGCAAGAGAGATGAGACCCTTAACCCTTGAGTTTTCAGATAAGAAAATAGGGTCAGTTGGTAAAAGAAAATACTGTTGGAATTTACCTGTTCTAGATGGGAGAATAAGGTAGGAGTATTACTTGCATTGTGATCTGGATTTTGCAGTTTTCCCTTTGTCAGTCATTGGTCAAATAGGCTATGGGGGACCCACATTTTTAATAAAGCAGAATGGCATTCAGAGAATGATATCTCTCCTCAACACCACTGCCTTGATCAAATTGGTGGACTTTCCCTATTTTCTCTCCTGACATTTCATTTCACTTCGCCATCTCACTTCATTTCACTGATGGATTGATTTGATATCATTCATATTTGGGGTGGGGTATAAACGATATAAGATAAATATATATAAAATGACAGGAGATAGAGTTTTCTACATGGCGTGATTTTTGGACTTTAGAAAGCTATAAGGAAATGTGGTCAACAAAATATGGCAGTATATTCTAATTTAAGATTGAACCAGCCTAAAAAGGAAGACCTTCTGGCAATACACATGGTTTTAGAGATTATCTTTTGGGCAGGAAGTGTGAGAAAAATAACCTATTTCCTATCCTCCAAAAATATTTCTCTGCCCTGCTATGTGACATTAAAAGGTTCAGGTTATTAAGCTGTCTTTCACATAAGAGGAACAGACCAACTGGAGAGCCATTTAACTTTTGTAATCATCTATGTAATCCAGTTCGGTTCTTACTCTCGAGACAGGGAACTATTATTTAAATGTTTCATTCCATTAAATTGTCATTTGATCTCTACAGATCTATCTGCCATATGAACAGTATTCTGCTCCAAGGGAAATATGTAGCCCATTGTCAGAAGAGGGGGAATTTCACAAGGATGGCCGGAATCTGGAAGTATCTTCTGAGAGTGATTTGGATGAGAATCTCTTGTCTAGGTTTGATTCTGGTGAGTGGAGAGTAAGAATCCTAACACAGAAAGTAGATAAAGATGATAGAGGGCCCACAGTATTGAGCTGCAAGCTAATAAAGTATGCTGCAAGCACAAACAAGAAGTCAATCCACAACAGATAATTTAGGCATGTGATCCCTGGACACAGGTGTTATCCATAGACTGCCATTTGGCAGGTGAATTAGATTTCACTTCCTTCTTTCCCAACACATAGTGTCCAATAGATGTGGCCCAGCATATCCAAAGGGCAGCAGAATGAGGGAATGCAGCTTGCTCGCTAAATTTCAGAAAGCATAATATGTGGGCTAGATTGAGAAATCGAAAAGCTGGAGACACATGCTGGAGCATGCTAAGAAAACGGCATGTCTACAATTAAAAGGAATTGAATTTGATGTCTATGGAGATTTTCAGTCATCCAGGTCATGGTTGTCCCAAAGGTACTTTTTCAAAAGGCAACTGGACTTTGTTTTTCCTTGATGAGAAGCGAAACGTCTTCAAGGAAAAACTAAGTCCAGTTGCCTTTTGAAAAAGTACCTTTGGGACAACCATGACCTGGATGACTGAAAATCTCCATAGACATCAAATTCAATTCCTTTTAATTGTAGACATGCTGTTTTCTTAGCAGGGCTCCTGTAGGACAATTGAGCTTGGTGTATCTTTTAATGTTTAGCAACTGTCTCATTTAGTGCCTGTTTGCAGTTGAGATGGTGATAAAAAAGTAATTTTATGACCAGTTCTTGCACTTATGACTGTCGCAAATCCCTAAAGCAAAGGAAAGCTGAGATTGTAAGCACAATTCCAGTTTCACTTAGCAACCACTAAGTGGTAGTAACTTACTGACTGAGTTGCCAATTCCAATTATGGTTGCTAAATAAGGACTTCCTTTATCAGGATATGATATTAAGAACCTGTAAGTTCCTGCCATCTCAAGGAAGTTGGTTATGATTCCACAAAATATCTTAATTATTAATTCTTGTTTTGCCTACTCATGTTTAGATGTACATATATGTGGGGATTCCTTTCTTAACACTCTCACCCCACCCCACCCCAATCTTAGAATCAGTTCTATGTTCATTCTGAAGCAGGTGGCTCTCCTTTTTTTTCCATGGTAGAGTTAACTTTTGGTCTTCAGTATATAATTAATAGTGAGGATTCTTCAGTCATCATTCTTATTTATACTATTATGCCATGGAGCTAGCATGATGTCACAGATGCTATTTGGGGAAATTAGGTCCATATTAATATTATGCAAATAGTCTCTTGTTCCTGTTTGACCTCTCTAAAATAGCCTATAAAACAAGCTATGGTTGCTTTGCATTAGTTGAGTGGAAGACGTCCTGTGATACGATGCTGGAACCCTATCTATTCCCAGCCCTGATGACTATTTCTATTTTCTGAACAAATGAGGAAGGTTAAGATCAGTGTTCATCTGGATAACAAAACAAGCATCAGTGTGAATCTCCATTGCTTGGGAGAATTCTCTTAGAACTGAATGGTGAAATGTCAGGATTGTGATCTCCCACTATTCTCCACAAGAAGTCCCTTTCCCATGGTATCCTAACCTTTGGAGGTAATCCAGAAAGAGATTTTACTTTAATTTGTCATCAGAGATTCATGCAGACAAATGTTAAATTTGTCTCAGAGAAGTTTAGTCCTCATGACATGCCAAAAAGCCCTCTCTTTCAGGCCTCTGCCATCCTTGAGAACAAGGGATAGTCATGACCATCTACCGTATTTTTCGGAGTATAAAACGCACTGGAGTATAAGACACACTTTAGTTTTTTGGGAGGAAAATAAGAAAAATACCCCCAATCAGCTGTTCCCAGAGGTGAATTTTAGTAACAGGTTCCTTGGTTGTGAACTCTGTGCCTTGCTTTTTTTTTTTTTTGTTTTTTTTCTGCCTCTGAAACTTTTGAAACAGAGCTTCAAAAAAAAAAGCCTCTGACGCTCTGTTTGGGGGCTTTTTTCTGAAACTCTGTTTGGGGGCTTTTTCTCTGAAGCTTCCTTTCTGATGCTTTTTTCAGCCTCTGAAACCTCCATTTGAGAAGCTGTGCAGGGCTACATTTGGAGTATAAGACGCACCCAGATTTTCACCCTTTTTTTTGTGGGGCATCTTATACTCTGAAAAATGTGGTAATTCCTTTCCTCCTGGGGGCGGGGAGTGCTTTCCCATGAACAGCAGATGGGGGGCATCTGACACATCTGTCCATCCTGATCTTTGGTCTCTTCTGCAGGCTCTCGCCGGAAACTCCGCCTCTACCAGTTTTTGCTGGAGCTCCTTGAAGGTGGTGACATGAAAGAATGTGTGTGGTGGGTGCAACGTGATGCAGGCATCTTCCAGTTCTCTTCAAAGCACAAGGAGCTTCTGGCACACCGCTGGGGCCAGCAGAAAGGCAACCGCAAGAAAATGACCTACCAAAAAATGGCCCGAGCTCTGCGCAACTATGGCAAAACAGGCGAGATCCGCAAAGTGAAGAAGAAACTCACGTACCAGTTTGGGACCTCACTGCTGAGCCCATCACCTTCTTCCTAAAGCCCTCAGGACCCCTGGGCCAGAATAGCCTCCAATGAAATGCTTCCTTTGTTGGCTTTCTTGAAAACTCTATTTGGGCATTTGCCAGCATGGCTGTATTAGAGAACCTGCCAGATGCTTTGCACTAAACAAGGAGGGTGGATCTGAAGGCAATGACGGCTTTTATTGGGTGGGGGTGGGGGTTCTGCACTTTAAGGGAAGGTTTGTGAACCAGGACTTGGGAGGTTTCCTTTTTGGAATGGGAAAATGAGGTTCAGCTGAAATGCATGAGGCTGGGATTCCTGGATTGATCTTCCCTGAATGGTTTGAGAACTAGAGCTCATATCAACTCTTTTGGGGATCCTTGGTGGAATGAAAAAGAGATGAGATAGCAGCAGAGCTGCTAAATTATTTTTTGAGTATGGCCTTAATGGATTTATGGCCCCTTCCTAAGATATTTGTGGTATCTCCCTACAATTGCATGGGGCTTAATCCAATGCTTCTCTTATTCTCTTGCCATTACATGCCTTACTGTTTCATCAACATGAATGACCTCTAGAACAAGTAGGAAAATTGTGTAGAGCATAGTTCTGAAACTCTTTTCAATCTCTTAATAGCTATTGCACTCATATGATCAGGAAGTAAGAGTGGACGAATCAGCCACTGTCTGAGTTGCTGCCCAGATTCAACCCATTTTTTATCTTTCTTTTGCCAGCTTCCTTCCTCACACCAAATTTGGTTTTGTTTAGTTTTCAGAGAATAATCTGGAAAGACAGTTGGTTAGAGTCCTTTAAAACACCCAGACAGTTTCTTTAAGTAACAATTGGTAAAGAGAGGCATCATCCCACAAGTGCTGGTCTGCAAAAGTACTCATCTCTTGTACTTCGACCCCACAAGTACTCTGGAAGCAAACCAGAGGCAGATATGCAATTTAGGATTTATATGAATTCTCTGGATTGATACGACCCTCTATGGTAGTTCCACACAAGGATTCATGAGCAGTTGGAAAACAACTCCAAATTTTTACATTTTTGCAATGTTGGCGTCGGAGGACTGAGCTAATTAATTTCCAATTCATCTCTGGTGTAAGTAGTCCTTGGTTTATGACAACAATTAGGTCTGGAGTTGCTGTTGCTAAGTAAACCAGTTTCTATTGTTCAGCAATGATCATGTGGGTTGTTTAGCAAGAATCTCATGTGACCACAACTTCTGACTTCCTGCCAGCTTCATTACTGAATTTACTTGTAAGTAGTCGGTAGAGAACTTTGGAAATCATGATCACATGACTGTGGGGATACTGTTATGGCTGGAACTCCGAGAACCCACTATAAGTTGTTCATCACTGTCCCAAGCTTGAATGTTCTCTGAACCAGTGGTCATAACCCGAGAAACATCTGAACCTTGACTTTGATAACTTTGTACCCCCCTCTCAGTTTTTTCAGTTTCTTCTTTCAGCAAGAAATCATAATTTATGGTTTGCAAGTTTCCCTCTCTGTACTGAAATACAGTAAAGGGATATTTGTTGCTTGGAGGAAGTTACTTCTCTCTGAGTGTTGAAGTCCATGCATCTGAAATTTGCCACGGTTGAAAATTAGTGCTCTAGGATCAGAAAATTTTGGATCAGGGCAGTGATCTTTACTTCTGGTTCATCTTTTGGTAGAAGCAATCACTTACATATTGCTTCTAAAGCCTGGGAAATGAAAACAGTGGGGATGTGGAAATGGCCTGAGTTAGCATCATTTGAGCATCATGGTGGGAAGGAAGCAGATTATTCATGTCTGTGAGACTTTCTACTTGTCTCTCCCCTTGGGAGCCAAGACAGATTCACCACTTTTGATAAGTCATGTTTTGTTTAGCCACAGTTTGCTGTCTTAACTAGAATTGGTTGTGTAACCAAATCAATGTGGTTTGTTGAGTTACAGCTACTCATGTTGTGCAACCCCAGTTTTGTGGGCTGGCCTTTTGTAACTGGAGGAAACACAAGATGAGGCCCATAGGGCTTGGATCTAAGAACAGGCAGAATAAACATGAGGGAGCTTTCAGGAGGGAGATCCTCAAATAGTAGAAAAAAGATAGTATTGATGGGGTGGGGCAGCAGCAGATGGGGAGAGGGGATTCAAATATCTGGCCCAGGACTTGAGTGTGTAATATATTCAAATGTTTATTTAATAATACAGAGTGGAAGTTTTTGGTTAAAATCTGATTATTTTTAAAATGGATATCTTTTGTACATATTTTGGAAATTGCTAATAAATGTTTACAACAACAGTGAATTTAGTTACAGCTGAATTGTTTTATAGTCATTCAAACACTGGGAGGAAGGATGCTGGTGGGTGACGCTCTTTGCACTTTGAAATAGCCTTTCTCCATATCTCCTCATCTCAGCCAGACAGAAGGAAGAGCATGAAAGAATGGTCAGACTGGGGCATCTGTGTATGTGAGGAGTGGGGGGGGGAACTAATCAGGGTGGTGGCAGGGATCATGTAATTTCTTGTTTATGCACATCACAGTGCTTTAAAAGGGGTCAGAATAGACTAGGCTAAGCTAGGCTAGGCTAGGCTAGACTAGACTAGACTGGACTGGACTGGACTGGACTGGACTGGACTGGACTGGACTGGACTGGACTGGACTGGACTGGAATGGAATGGAATGGAATGGAATGGAACAGTTGGAAGGGACCTTGGAGGTTTTATAATCCTCTGCTTAGGCAGGAAACCCCACACCACTTCAGACAAAGAGTTATCCAACATCTTCTTAAAAATGTCCAGTGTTGGAGCATTCACAACCTCTAGAGGCCTTCCACTGATTAATTGTTCTAACTGTTCGGAAATTTCTTCTTTGTTCCAGGTTGCTTCTCTCCTGATTAGTTTCTACCCATTGCTTCTTGTCCTGCTCTCAGGTGCTTTGGAGAGTAGCTTGACTCCCTCTTCTTTGTGGCAGCCCCTCAAATATTGAAACACTGCTATCATGTCACCCCTAGACCTTCTCATTAAACTAGACATACTCAATTCCAGCTGCCATTCTTTATATGTTTTAGCCTCCAGTCCCCTAATCATCTTTGTTGCAAGGATAGGGTCAAGATATTCATCATGTGGTTCTGACTACCATGTTGTCTTTCTTGATTCCGCCCTACAAATCCTCTTGGATGGCAAATTTGAACAATTCATTTTATCTTGCTCCTTTTATTTAATCTACCTCTGTAAATCCCAGAATCTGTCTGAGATGGCTCCATTTGTATTTTTTGTAATCTAGGGAAAATATGTTTGATTTTAATATAGCAATAGCAATAGCATTTAGACTTATATACTGCTTTATAGTGCTTTACAGCCCTCTCTAAGCAGTTTTACAGAGTCAGTCTATTGCCCCCAACAATATGGGTCCTCATTTTACCCACCTTGGAAGGATGGAAGGCTGAGTCAACCTTGAGCCTGGTGGGGATCGTGATGATGTCCAGGAGCCTCCTGCCACCGTCACTACCAGTTCACCTGAACTGGGCCAAACTGGTAGAAACCCACCACTGATTTGCATCCTTTTAGAGGGTCCTTGAAGCAGTTGGAGCCACTAAATAACTCCAATGGGGGGGGAAGTTCTTTCAGATTTTCAAGACTCTGTTAAAGTAACCCACAATAAACACATGTTAGGGCTCATGGTTTTCTTTTCCTGACTGGACTCCCTCAAAAGGTTGATACTGCTACACAGATGGCGTTCCCTATAGATGGCATTATTTAACTGAAGGAATCTGGAAAGTGCCAACTCTGCCAGATCATCCAAGCATATACTATGGGAAACAGGAGGTTCCTTAATAACAAGGCCATGTGCTACTTCTAACCTGAAACACAGGCACACTTAAACTGGCATTTATATGCTTATGGATTGGCATATGGATATTTCATGCAGAAACAAAACTCTGGGGTCCTCGTTTGGTGGGAGGATGGGATACATTTCTTCTGTTTCATTGAATAGATATGCACAGATCTGTGAGGGTGAGGCAAACTAGGTGCTACCTTGTGTAGGAAGTTAGCACCCACCCATTTCCTGGAAGAGTGAAATATTTTAGGAAATATGAAAAAGGCAGAATATTATATTTCCCTAGATGAGAAATGGAGAAGCATATTTTACAGACAAAGCAGCTCCCACCTTCCTGCCCCCCATCCTTTGTCAATGGGCCATTAAGGCCTGGGCCAGTCTATTCTACATAACAAAGATCTGCCTCCTCAGGCAGAGCAATAGTAGGAATTGCCAAAGATCCAACAAAGATAGGATTAGCCCTCTACACAATAGCAGCAGAAACTCACCACATGTGACCTGGGAAGCACATGTGACCATCAGCCAGCAAGGCTAGCTAAGACCCCCACCCCCTGGGAGTCTAACAGGAGTCGATCAGGATACTCTTTCGGGGCTCCAAGAAATGCAGAGCCAGAGAGAGCATAAAACCTGAGGATTTACTGTATCTGCCCCGCTTTTCTGTTCAGGAACTCAAGCCATGTGATCCTGTCCAACATTAAACCATCTTTCCAAGCAGTCTCCATGTTTCCAGTGTCTTTTTCCCCACTTGGAGCAGAACCTAGAAGGAGATTTCTTCCAAAACTTGCTAAGTCAAACCTGCAATTACTGCTAATTGGGCTCCTAGTGAGACTCTTTTATTTGCTATTCTTTTGAGTTGGTCTTGACTCTTAGTAACTCCCCAGGTAAGTCCCTGAAGTTTTCTTGGTAAAATTTTAGAAGTGATTTGCCATTGCCTTCTTCTTAGGAATGAAAAACTATTATCACTTTTTTGTTTCACAGCTGCTGATCTGTCTTTTGCCACTCCTTACTGTATCTGAGCCAAGATCATTCATCCAACTGGCTTCATGCCTAAAATGAGAAGTAGAACTCATGACCTGCCTTCTTCTAGTCTAGCACCTTAACCACTACATCAAACTGGCTTTCCCTCTGAAACTAACTTTCTTTACATTTAGAAATGATCAGTAGAAGGCTTCATATTACAGTGGATCTGTTTGGATTTCACTTGGTTCACGCATCCTACTGTGATTTTTTAAATGTAGAAGGAATCCAGCCTGTGTAGGAAGCTCCGCTCCCCCCCCCCGAATGAAATATTTTGGAGAATATTAAAAGAGGGAGAATATTATATTTCTCCAAAGGAGAAATGGAGAAAAAAAATCTTAACAAAGGTAGAAAGCAACCCGCAGCAGTCTCCAGCAGATGCCTGAAGTCTTTAGAGATGGATATTTTGTGCCCATTAAGAAATCCAGGCCAGCCTATTCACAAACAAAACACCTTCAGGTCCAGATAATGGGATTAAGAATTTACATCCCCACTACCCAAATTCTAAGAACAGGACATGACCTTTAGGATATAATAGGATTAATCCAACACCATTAGAGTAGCAGAAGACACCAGGTTCACTACATTGCCCAACCCCTGCAGTATCTCAGAACCCTATAAGAAGCCATGTACTCATCAAAACAATTTGTCAGCTGTCCCAGAACTACATGCTGTTATTGGTTCTGCTCTTTAATAAACATAGTCCTTCTTTCTGATCAGCCTCCATTTCCAGCACCTTTTTCCCAGTTTGGAACTGGACCGGATTTTTCTTCCAACACCTGCATGATGTGATTCTGGCAACGGTGATTCATTCATCAAAATAAATAAATTATGGCTTACTGTGGTATATGAAATGAATAAACTCTGCTGCTCTTAAATTTTTGTTGTTGTTGTTGTTGTTAGTTGCGAAGTCATGTCCGACCCATTGCGACCCCATGGTCAACGTTCCTCGAGGCTTTCCTGTCCTCTACCATACTCTGGAGTCCATTTAAGCTCACACCTACTGCTTCAGTGACTCCATCCAGCCACCCATTCTCTGTCGTCCCCTTGCTCTTAAATTTAATCAGCAACAATTCTCAAATTCTAAACTTATGATTGGCTTGTGTTAGAAAAAGAAGCTTAATGTTCAAGATGAAAAAACCTTGGCAACCATGAGATGTCAGCAAAGTTTGAGTTTTTAGTATCATTACTGACCTCTTATCTTTATCTGGATATAATAGCAATAGTTTATCAATTTGTTTTTGTTTTTTTTCCAAATGCAAAATTGAAGCTGTTAGATCTGAGCGTGGCAGGGAGAGTCTGAGGCTTGGCTGCTGTGAACACAACTTTATTGCTAACATGCAACAAGGCAACAAGGCAACTCCGCGGAGTGCAACGAGGAAAAGAACTGCCCGGTTGCCATTTGACAGCTGCTTAAATAGGGAGCTGTCAGACAGTACGAGCCAATACGTGAGCAGGGATCTCCCGCTAATTTAGTTGCTTGCGTCTTAACCAATCCGCGACAACTGGCAACAAAGCCGGTATGAGTGCGAAGACTCAACACCCCTTTCCACCTGGACCATGCACGCATAGTCCGCCAAGTACGCCGGATGACATTGGTGCCGCCTATATCTTCTCAGTTCAGGCGTGGTCAAGGACGGGGGTGGAGCCGAGCCATTGCTCTCTGGAACTATAGGAGACTGCGCGCGAACTGGAGAAGGAAGGCCCGTCCCCTCTTCCATTCCTGGATCCCCAGGTAGGCCATCCGATGAGAACAACTCGGTTGGGGGCAGTCAGCTTGTTTCGGTCGGGGCTGGCAAGGCCCCAGAAGGGTTTTGTGTTGGTGAACTCGGCTGGTCTTGAACAGGATGAGGGTAGGCCCCATCGACTCTTCGTCTGAATTGGTTTATATGCCGTCGCCAAACTCGCCCATCATTGAGCTGGACCCTATAAGAATAGGGCCCGGTTAGTTGCGTTATGTGACCCGGCAACCACCTCATGTTGGTCTCAAAGTTCTGGGCGTAGACCAGATCCCCAGCAGTGAAGGTCCTGGACTGAAGTCGCATCCCAGGTGGTGGCTCATGAGTGTAATTAGGGTGCAGTCGATCTAGGGTTGTCTGAAGATGCTGGCCCATGAGGAGTTTGGCGGGACTGTGTTTGGTGGTCATGCTGGGGGTCGTATGTTGGGCCAACAGGTACTGGCAGATCATATGGTGCCAATTTGTGGGGCCCAAGCAGCATAAAGCCTCCTTAGCGGACCGGATGGCCCTTTCCGCCAGACCATTAGCGGCTGGATGGAAAGGGGTCGTTTGGGCATGGCGGATGCTCAGTTTAGCTAGAAATAGCTGGAAGGGTGTTGAAGTGAACTGAGGCCCATTATCTGTAACTATGATGTCAGGCAGCCCGTAGATCGCGAATAAACCCTCTAAGACCCATACTACAGCTTCCGTGTTGGTGGATGGCATGAGGG